CAGTGTCTATTCATGTGTAAAACAATTGTCTGTGACTCAAGGTGAAGTGGCAGGACACCAAAAGTTGTTAGGGAAATTTCTTAGTAAAACTGTTTTTTCTTCCTTTTTCTATCTCCTTTTCTGCCATCAATTTGCTTTGAAATACTCAACTACTCCTCTAGAGTATCTGCTGAAGTGTGAAATGATAGTCTGAGAGAAAATTTTTAACTTTTGCAGAATGTCAGTTTTTGGCTGAAAAAACCCGACAGGCGCGCGCCTGTGGAAAAATCTCAATTTTGGGCATTTTTAGGCTATCTCCATTTTTGCTCCAAAATGTCAGATTACACATCTAGATTACCTACTCGACATCTACAGTGTCTATTCATGTGTAAAACAATTGTCTGTGACTCAAGGTGAAGTGGCAGGACACCAAAAGTTGTTGGGGAAATTTCTTAGTAAAATCTGTTTTTTTCCTCATTTTCCTATCTCCTTTTCTGCCATCAGTTTGCTTTGAAATACTCAACTACTCCTCTAGAGTATCTGCTGAAGTGTGAAATGATAGTCTGAGACAAAATTTTTAACTTTTGCAGAATGTCAGTTTTTGGCTGAAAAAACCCGACAGGCGCGCGCCTATGGAAAAATCTCAATTTTGGGCATTTTTAGGCTATCTCCATTTTTGCTCCAAAATGTCAGATTACACATCTAGATTACCTACTCGACATCTACAGGGTCTATTCATGTGTAAAACAATTGTCTGTGACTCAAGGTGAAGTGGCAGGACACCAAAAGTTGTTGGGGAAATTTCTTAGTAAAATCTGTTTTTTCTTCCTTTTTCTATCTCCTTTTCTGCCATCAATTTGCTTTGAAATACTCAACTACTCCTCTAGAGTATCTGCTGAAGTGTGAAATGATAGTCTGAGAGAAAATTTTTAACTTTTGCAGAATGTCAGTTTTTGGCTGAAAAAACCCGACAGGCGCGCGCCTGTGGAAAAATCTCAATTTTGGGCATTTTTAGGCTATCTCCATTTTTGCTCCAAAATGTCAGATTACACATCTAGATTACCTACTCGACATCTACAGGGTCTATTCATGTGTAAAACAATTGTCTGTGACTCAAGGTGAAGTGGCAGGACACCAAAAGTTGTTAGGGAAATTTCTTAGTAAAACTGTTTTTTCTTCCTTTTTCTATCTCCTTTTCTGCCATCAATTTGCTTTGAAATACTCAACTACTCCTCTAGAGTATCTGCTGAAGTGTGAAATGATAGTCTGAGAGAAAATTTTTAACTTTTGCAGAATGTCAGTTTTTGGCTGAAAAAACCCGACAGGCGCGCGCCTGTGGAAAAATCTCAATTTTGGGCATTTTTAGGCTATCTCCATTTTTGCTCCAAAATGTCAGATTACACATCTAGATTACCTACTCGACATCTACAGGGTCTATTCATGTGTAAAACAATTGTCTGTGACTCAAGGTGAAGTGGCAGGACACCAAAAGTTGTTAGGGATTCTTTTCCTGGTTTTGGTCTTCAACCTAGAGCACTATAAAGGCAGCCATCAAATCAAGAATGGATGAATATACCACACTCCTGATTTAGGAAGGCGTGTTTCAAAAGAAGTGAGAAGTATATTTAAAAGAGGGTAGAAGCAAGCACACATCCCTGCTTCACTCCATTGTTGATTACCAAATCTTCCGATGTTACACCATCAAAATTGATTGTACTTCACACCTGTGTGGAACAACTCAATAATGCTCAGTAGGGTAGGTGGACACCCAATCTTCTTCAGCGTGTTGAACAGACCTTTACAACTAACCAAATCAAATGCTTTGGTACGATCAATAAAAGCAACATACAGTGGCTGATTTTGTTTATGACATTTGTCCTGCAACTGTCGTAAGGAAAATATCATAGTGGTGGTGGACTGGTTCCCACAAAAGCCACAATGTGACTCTGGGTAAACTGACTGAGATAGAAGACATTTCGAAAAGCATATCATAAAAAGTACCTGAGGAACTTATGGTGACTGGCTTCACAGAAGATAGGGAAATAAATTAACATAGAACATAAATCTACACGATCTGACACACATCTATACTGAATAGGTATTATGCACAGACAATATGTCAAGTTACCTCAGTGTGGATCCAAAACTGGTACAGCAGGTTGAACTGTTGGTGAACACAGAAGACTGATGGAGGAATGAAAAAGGCCATTGGAAAATTCAACAGCTGGAAGAAAAAAAATTAGGTTTATGAATAGCACTTGAGATAAACATTGATTCTCATAAACTTGTCTCATTATTTTAACATCTTTAATATACCTTTTTATTTCCTGGGTGTAAAACAGGATTTGATGTTCAATCTTTGCTCCATGATGCATAAGTAATCATGCATCTCTCATGTTGCATAAGTAATCATGCATCTCTCACTAGCTCAATGAAATGACTAGTTAATTACTGTCTGTTTACCATGCTGTGTTGCAATTTTGCTAGATCATAGATGAATATTGCCTGTTTAGATGATAAACATTGATTCTCATAAACTTGTCTCATTATTTCAACATCTTTAATATTCCTTTTTATTTCCTGGGTGTAAAACAGGAATTGATGTTCAATCTTTGTTCCATGATGCATAAGTAAACATGCATCTCTCACGTTGCATAAGTAATCATGCATCTCTCACTAGCTGAATGAAATGACTAGTTAATTACTGTCTGTTTACCATGCTGTGTTGCAATTTTGCTAGATCATTGATGAATATTGCCTGTTTGGATGATATGCTTTATTTGACAGAGACATTTTTAATTTGTTTTAAATAGACTTTAATCAAAATTGTTATACATGAACTACACTGTTCAATACTACACAAAGGATTGTTTCCTTTACATTCAAATATGCATATTTAATTGGGGTAGGGTTAACCACCAAAAGAAGATAAAAGGTGTTTTCCCTCAGCTAGATTCAGGGCACCTCATGGGCAAGGGCAGAGTTCAAACTTAGTCCCCTGATTAGAGTTACAAGATAAATAAAAGTGAGCAGCGTAAACAGATTTCATAACTTTGCGAAGCAGAGGATGCCACTTTGGTCGCAATGGCTAGAACAATTCACACAGTATGGGTAATGCCCTCATTGAAAGAAACTGCACTCTACTGTCAGAAAACATTAAACATGAGGTTGTGGACAGACAGGATGACCCTCACTAAAAGGCACAGACTGTCAGGAAAAGGCAATGAACTGATTCATTGTATACATGTATACTTTCTTTTTCGTCACTTTCTTCACTTCTTTCAGTTACTTCATTGGAAAATTTGGGTGGAGAGGGAGGGGGGTATTATAAGGATCTTCTGTGAGCTCTTTCCAATGCACTGTTTAATTTGGTATTTTTATTTGTTTCACCCTGTTCTCATGCATTTAATTTTTGCTCTGCATCGAAAGTATTTCTTTAGCTTGGCTGTCTGAGGCAGTTAATTTCACTTGCAGCTTCTGTGCATATCAGTCAATGTCTGTTATGAGAAGCAGGGAAGGGATCATATATCCCTGCTGTACTCCTGAATTCTCTTCCAAAGGCTGTTATGCTAAACACAATTGTATTGTTTGTTTTAGTAACCAGAAGCCATAAGTTGTTAACCCTTAGGTTCGGTATTATGGATATCGCAACATTTCGGCCTTGATTCTATTGTAAATACTGTAAATCTGGGAGAAAATGTGGCTTTTCTGCCTACCCCCGGGAGTGAACCCGACCACAAGAAGTTCATCACCCGGTCACCGTGCAATCCGGTTTAGCCAACTACGCTAGAGATCCGGGCTATAGAATTGTATAATCTAAGTATTGTAAGAAAGTGTTATATCTTCATGAAATCTATAACTGTTTTTTCAGAATGTTAGAGATACGTACCAGGCATTCTCATCAGGTGGCTGAACCATCTCATCTGATCCTTTTAAATAAAATTTATGACTAGTTTCAGGAGTAGTATTCTTCTAATTTCTTTTTTAATTTGATCTTGTCTTGTTACTTTGACAGCTTTTCTAAGGTATCTTTTATCTGTTGTTTTAATTGATGATTTTGTGCTAACTACTTTTAATAAAGATGTATAACAGTGGTAGCATAAAGCAGGCCAAAACATACTCATAAGAATTGTTTTGGTAGACAAAAGTATAATTATAAGCGTCAAAAGTGGTTTTAGCTGTCCCAGGACGAGGTTTGCTTTAGCATATTATGTTTTATCTATCTATTCTTCCTTCTGATGTGAAAATTGATCCTAGATATTTAAATTCACTTATTTTATCTCTGTCTTGTTTACACATCCCTGTTGTACCCCTAGATTTTCTTCAAAAGGTTGTTATACCAGTTATAACTTTATAATTTAAGTATTGTTACCAGTTATAACTTTATAATCTAAGTATTGTAAGAAACTGTTATATCTTCATGATATCTGTCATTGTTACCTCAGAATATGAGAGATACTTACCATGCTATAGTATTTCTGCATCAGAGACTGTCGCAGAGCAGTTGTTAGATTGTAATCTTCAGAACTGTGATGAACCTGATGAGATGCCCAAATAATGTTGCTTTCTGTAATCATAAATTCATTTAAAAGCTTATAAACATAATCAAAAAGTCATGTTTTCTAAAAAGAGATAGAAGCATAAACAAAGATGTTGGTGCTCAGAAAAATTAAAATAAGAAGATGAATATAAATGGAGAATATCTATGATCTAAAGAGATATTAGTTATTTCTGAGCTTAATGAAAGTAGTATTTGAAAAATAAACATTTGGAATACTTAAAAAAATTGTATCAGATCAACAAGCTATGCTAATGAAGAAATCAAATGTATGCAGGAAAAAAATCTTAAATGACAGTATTTGAATGTACAGAATTGTAATACATTCATCATCATTATCTTCTCCATCTTCATGATTTGCCTCTTGTTATGGTATACGATTTTCTTAGATGTATTCCCTGTATTGGTAAATGGCATTGTTACATTCTAACAAAACATACAAGCACTTTTCTGTCACATTCTAACAAGACATCCAAGCACTTTTCTGTCACATTCTAACAAGACATCCAAGCACTTTTCTGTCACATTCTAAAAAGACATCCAAGCACTTTTCTGTCACATTCTAACAAGACACTTAAGCACTTTTCTGTCACATTCTAACAAGACATCTAAGCAATTTGCTGTTACATTCTAACAAGACATCCAAGCAATTTGCTGTCACATTCTAACAAGACATCTAAGCAATTTGCTGTTACATTCTAACAAGACATCCAATCAATTTGCTGTTACATTCTAACAAGACATCCAAGCAATTTGCTGTTACATTCTAACAAGACATTCAAGCAATTTGCTGTTACATTCTAACAAGACATTCAAGCAATTTGCTGTTACATTCTAACAAGACATTCAAGCAATTTGCTGTTACATTCTAACAAGACATTCAAGCAATTTGCTGTTACGTTCTAACAAGACATCCAAGCAATCTGCTGTTAACTATAATAATACATCCAAGCAATTTGCTTTTCTGTTTCTCAATGCTGTGCAGCTCTGTGGCTTAGAGGTCAGTGAAATCCTTTCACAATTTGCAATGTAAGTGTCAGCAACAAGATCTGCTCACCTCAAGAAGTCTTCCATGATTACAGAATGAAATTTCAGGACTACTGTTGCCATCACATGAATTTAACATGCTTCTTCTTAGCTTTTAACCTACTAGCAATATGTTTCTCCTTTATCCCTATTCACATCCTGATTTTTTTTTTTCAACGGAATCAGTGGAGAAACAAGATAATAATGGCCTGGAGAGAATGAGGCACCTGAGTGTAACCAGCTCACAACACTCAGAGGAATCGCAAGATGGACACATAACCAGATTGTGACTGGTACCATCAGTACTTGAACTCTGTGCTGACTGATGAAGATGAGAATTCCTCAAGTTCTATGATGTAAATTCTTGACTCAACTCAACTCATCCTGATCTTTCCCCCAATTCAACTAGGTCCATGGCATCCTGTTTCCACGAATCCACCTCAGTACCTGTATCATTCATATCCTGCTGGTCCTTAAATAATAGTAGATGCCGACCACAGCATCTTCTATCTATCTATAATTCATATAAGAGATTGTCTATTCACACTTTTCATCCTCAACCCACTTAGTGTGTCTTAGCCATCTGAGCCTTCAAAGACGAATAAGACAATGAGAACATTATTGTGATCACACTCTTTCCAATATCACTACCATTATATTTATGTCAGAAAATATTACTGATGATTATGGGTGCATATTGAATAAAGAAAATGATGATTATAGGTGCTCTTTGAATGATGAAACTGATGATTATGGGTGCATATTGAATAAAGAAAATGATGATTATAGGTGCTCTTTGAATGATGAAACTGATGATTATGGGTGCATATTGAATAAAGAAAATGATGATTATAGGTGCTCTTTGAATGATGAAACTGATGATTATGGGTGCATATTGAATAAAGAAAATGATGATTATAGGTGCTCCTTAAATGATGAAACTGATGATTATGGGTGCATATTGAATAATGAAGTTGATAAACCTGAAGTAATACAAACCATGGCTAAATCTGTGAAACCAGTAGTACGAGAAGTCCACAGCGACAAAGCCTATCAACCAGGTCCAAGTGTTGTCCCACGGAAGGTCAATAAAATGCCAGTTCGTATACAGCCAATAATACACTGCCAGTTCCAATGATCCGAACAATAAACTGAATACAAATATATATCATTAGTGCTAACAGAAAAGTGAAAAATATACAGTGGTACTTTGGTATACATCCTTAATCCATTCCAGATCCTCGGACATATACCAAACAGGACATACACCAAAAAAATTTTACCATACGAAATAAAGAAAGAATGATTAGTATGTTCCCATTAGAAAAAATAAAAAACTATTGTTATTAACATTTTGTACATTCATAGGTTTATATAAAAAACATAATCACTGTTTGTGTGTGTGTGTGTGCGTGCTTGCATGTGTATGGTTATTCAAGGTCTGATGGTTTGTGCTTCTACTAGACCAGGTTTTTGTGATAAGAGGCTGCTAAATGTTTGTACTCATAATATGCTCCTACGGTGGGGAAAAAAAACCGTGACTTCAGCCTTTGCTATCCAAGAGCCACCTCTTTTCAGCTGCTGTACCTTGATATCCCCTAAGGCTTCAGGCAGAAGGTATTTTCTGTCCGTTGCGACTTTAAGGTACATTTTCACCTGTAAAACCTTGTATCTCTCATATACGGGTGGCAATGCAAGTATGTGCCTCATGCATACAGTTGACATGCTTTGTGTATATCTTCTTTACAATAAGATGAAAACATCTGAACACTGTTTTTTTTTTTTAAATTCAGCCAATATAGCCACACATTTGGTACACGCATAGAGCCAGATTTGTTTCATACATGAGCTTGGCTTCCAGGTCACCCAGCCTTAAATGGGTATCAGGTACAGTAGTAAAGGCGGTCGGTGAGATCTTGACCACATCACTCAGCGAGAGCCCATTGGTCTATAAAAATAAGATTTAGCCTCATATGCCCGATACGCCACTGGTTACTACATTTCATCAAATGTACTATGTGACTGTAGCATTATCTTTATTTATACAACCCACTGAAAGAGCATCATGGGCTCTTTGGTGCAAACATTACGAAAACAAATACTTACCTATGCATTTGGGACAACAGACCATGGCTCTTGCTATTTATTCCGTCATTAATTCGGGGAATTTCCTTTCCTTGCAGCTTCAAGATTATGCATTCGAGTATAATCATGACAACAAAGTAAGGTATCGCCTGCAAGAAAGATTTTGGGAAAATATTGTTACTGTACACATCAACAGAAACAGTAATATCTTATTCTCAGTTGTATACACATAATCATATAATCATAAGTACAAGTAAAAGCAAAATAAAGAAATGTCACATTTCATTACTCCAACAATTAAATTACTGGAGCTTTTTCAGTAAAGTACAGCGTAGTAGCTATTATTTGAAATTGTTTTATGACTACACACTTCTGGAGGTGGCTAATTTAATAAATTACTGGCAAAAGATTTTCAGCAAGATTATGAACACAGGTTACTGATCATGTGACCTCCTAAAAATCACTTCATCAAGCAATTACAAATATGAAATTTGTGTGTGTGTTTTACATAACGCTAAGTGGACATTTCTTTGTTGCACTGCAGAGATCTCTAAGGTTTTGACTGCCTGCTCTACTTGTCTTTGCTGCCAGTTAATCTGTTTAAGAGCTTCTGTAATATCTAGAGTAAGTTAATAGTTGTCCCATTGTCATATATAAACCAAGAGGTGAACAGAACAGTTTCAGTCTGATTAATTTGGATACAGAATTTAATGAACTCATTTACATAGCCACTTATGTACTTTCATTATTTCTAAGGTCTTTACATTTTGAAGAAGTTGGATATTAAGTCCTGTGGTAATTATTTACACCGAGTAAAGAACCAAAATCATAGCTTTCTGAACATTTGCTTAAGTGCTTCATCCCCATCTTCAGCAGCCAGCACCGCAGCAATCCAATTCCAATGCTACCTGCAGCAATCTAATTGCCTGTCGATCTTGCCTTTCCCCTGAGTTTATTTAAAAATCATATTGTATACATGATGTTTACAAGGTCATTTATAGTATGCTTAATCTGTATGTAATATTGCCCCCTGAGAACTCTGGATCCAGAGAGGCGGTAGTAGATTTTTTATCCCCCCCCCCCCCCCAAAAAAAATACTGACCTTCAGTACTCATGTTCTGACAGGTTGGCTGGATTCGCTATCACTACCAACGGTCAGGCTATGGATCATGCTGATATTATCAATGCCCTCAGAGAAATGGGAAGGATAGAGGACTTTGGTGGCAGTGAATTTACATCACTCGCCAGACTGGCAGACTTGGGAATTAAGATCGGCACAGCAAAAAACGAGACGCACACCAGTCATGTCAGAAGATTTGTTAATCAACATAGAACTGGTACTATTAGCCATCGGACGTTGGGTTTCATACTGAAGGGAGGATCTGAGCACCTATGGACATGTCCGGAGTGTAATGATGATAAGCCTACTAACTAACTAACTAACTAACTAACTAACTCATGTTCTCTTGCTTTGACTACAAGTAGAGGTAATTGCAGTAACCAGATCAAAACCATAGCTGGAGACACTAACATCCACCTGTGCATGCTTTCTCAGTGACTCAATGAGTTGGCACAGTAAGACAGAGATGGGCTAGGCCCAAAGACAGTGGTTGGTATCTCTGAGGCAGTCAGGACTGACACAAATCAGTTTCATTTTCATGCGTGGTCATACAGGCGTGCAAGGAAATGAACCAGCTGACAGGTCGCCAGGTAAAGCTACCATGGAGAGCGGACAAGCCAAGGACCAGGTTGATATACTAAATGTTCAATGAGAAGTAAGATGTTTGGAAAACCAAGTGATAATGATGAATCTGCAACCATGATCAGACAAGAGCATTATGCAGGAAACCAAAGAAGAATAAAATACCAGCATAAAACTGGTGTCATCAGCTGCTATACGCTACAGGAATTACTGAAGAGAAGATCCAAATACTTATGGACTGAATAGTTTGATATGCAATGAAGAAAATCTATCTACTAACTAATTAACCAACTATAAGTTGTTGGAATTTTTAATATCTTGCAGATCTATGGCAATCAATCGATTTTTGACTACTCAACTTATCTACAAATCATCTGAAGTTTGTTTGTTATATTTAATTGAAACCACAATTTTTCAAATCCATTTATGTTGACTTGTAGTTTTCCTTATAGTGTGGGGAGACTTTTTGATATAAGCATTTTGTGAAAGTTTTTTTTTTATAAAGTCCTTTCCAGGATTTTTACTCTGGATAGAGAAAATTACTGGTGACAAAATTAACTACTGGGGGATAACAACTAGAAACAAAAATATAGTGACAGATTAATTTTGTAGGTAGTAATAATGATGGTTAAGGAATCAGAAAGAAAGAAATTATGACACACATTGGCAAGGCATCAACAGGTTTTAAAAGCTTGACCAAAATACAGAACTCTAATTAAATAGTTTTAGAACCAAGTTACAAATTTTTAATTCTAATGTTTGTTTTTTAAACATTTGCTATATGGCGACACGCTTGGTAACTTCAGAACGTGACTTTCCCCAACTTAAATTTTGTCTGTGTATTTTAAGTTATAGAGGGAAATATGCTCCTGAGCTGTAACCTAAACCTAGGTTGACCCAGAACAAAGCCATTTAATTTCACTGGACTCAAGTCATATCAGACTTTTTCCCAGAGGTAAGGTGTCAAGAATCCAGATAACACTGACTAAGTAGACTGGTAGCACCAATGAAATGAAATTTACAGACCACCTAGCTTGGGTTGTCATAAAATTATCCAAGGCCAGACCCTTAAAGGCAGGTAACTCAGGATGAAGCAATTATCTCCCCCTGAGATTACCTTACTTGAGTGAAGGTCAGATGGCTAGTGCTGACACTTGTCCAATGGAGGGTGTTAGCAGATGGGCATGTGAAAGGAAGGTGTGACTTTGTTTATGGCCATACCAAGCTTAAGCAGCCAGATGCCCAGTGGGAATAAAAACAAATGTTTGAGCTTTCTTGAGTGACAGGCCTTTAGTAAATGGACTGACTGACACAACAAACGCAAATTTATTTTGCAGAATCTCATATCCTTGTTTATATGTTTTCTTTGTTAGATACTGTTCAACATGCTAGTCATTTTTTCCATATATATTTGTTGTATACCTTCACAGACACCCTACATAGAACAGCTATTATAACTGTGATGTTAATTTGCACATTCGATGAAAGACACGTGCAAAAATCAGTGTTAAAGAATAGGCAACTTAATGGTTGTGAAATGTGCGTAATAATAAGTGTGACAAAATTTTTTATAGAGGCACTTGAGGTGTAGTGCTACATAAAAAAAAAACCCAAACACATGGTTACCTCATCAACAAAATTGGGTACATCATTCAGTTTTTCAAATGAAGTCTCATTAGGAGTTACCATGTAGAACATGGCCCTCAGATTCAACAACAATGGTCGGGATTTCTCTGCAGCCATGATTAATGGCAAGATGTCTGTTGGCTGAAGTACTGTATTTAAAAAAAAAAAAAATAAAATGTTAAATACTGTTTACAGATACTTTATAGACAAGTCGTCATGTCTCTTTAAAACCTTTGTATTTCAATAATGGTCATCAATTTTATATTCAACCATTCTGTCAAATCTAGTATAGCATATGTAAGTGATACCTATCAAACAATATGATCTATCAATGAAAGAAGTCGACTATGCTCTACCTTTCGAGAATAGCCTAAACATTATGAGTTAATAACTGACATCATAACACTTAGGTACAGTCCTACAAGTGCTCTTTCCCCATCTTCAGTAGCAAACGCAGAGTTCCAATTTCAATGCTACCACTAACAGTCTGATTGTATGTCTGACTCACCCCTCCCCTGAATATTGAGGATCAGCAAGATCCCACAGTCACTCCATGATGCACTTTTCTCTTGGGACCATGATAATCTATTCGTGGCGGTGCACGGTTTACTCACTACCAAATGGCCAGTACATCATCGAGCTTGTTATGCAACAATTTCACACCAAGTGGTGCAGAACCAGCCAAAACATATTCATTTCCCAACACATTTGCAAACCATGGACAAATATCTTAAAGAAATAACTACTGAGACCTGTGAAGCAATGCTTGCTACTCTACACAAAGCATACCTGTTTATATCTTTCTTAAAATGCTTTGTGAGTCAGTTACAATTACAATATGTGTGTGCAGCTGATTTCAAGCCAGCAAAACGCTATAGTAACTGCCTCCATCTCAATTCTAAAACTAGATGTTGGGGTATGTGCCAGACTTTGTTACACTAAACAACATCTGTTCACTGTTACAGTGAACCATCACGCACTTCTGCACCTCAATAGAGAACCCTCTGTATAGATAATCACATGAATCATTTACTGGACTTCTGATTCTGCAGTGCCAACTGGCCAGTCTCTGCACTCATGGCCCAATGTGATTAAAACACTACACAAATCTGATTGTTGCTTGGGTACTCTGACCCACTCCTCTCTTCGTACAATATTCTCAAACCTGCACACAGGTCTAATTGTGTCTGTCTAATTGTGTCTGTCCAATTGCGTCTGTCCAATTGCGTCTGTCCAATTGCGTCTGTCCAATTGCGTCTGTCCAATTGCGTCTGTCCAATTGCGTCTGTCCAATTGCGTCTGTCTAATTGCGTCTGTCCAATTGCGTCTGTCCAATTGTGTCTGTCCAATTGCGTCTGTCTAATTGCGTCTTGTCTAATTGTGTCTGTCTAATTGTGTCTGTCTAATTGTGTCTGTCTAATTGTGTCTTCAGCTTACCCCATCAAGGACCTTCCTCTTTTCAGTCTGTTACCCTTAGTTCTATCTAGGGCTTCATACAGGGGGTGTTTCTTGCCTGTAGCTACTCTATGACTGCTTGCAGCACTGTGAGCCTATCTGTAATAACAGTCGGCAGGGCAAGTGTATACAGCATACATATTACTCGAGCATATCTCTTGTAAACCCCAGAACTACTCTTATGACTTCATTCTGTATGCTTTCACATTTCATCAGCTGATTCCTAGTGTGATAGGCGTGAGAACGCCAAAGACTGCTGTTGAGCAGATTGTCGATTTTGGTTTGTTTGGCCGATATCTTCATTTAGTCTGGCTTACAAAAGCAGAAAAGTCTGGCCACTGTGTATAAAAAGGCCAGCTCACTCGCTTTTTGGCTCTATTTGGCTTCCGGACTGACCCTGCAGGACACCAACCCAGCTGTTGCGGCTCTGCCGCTAGACAATGTGGGTACAGGCGACAGCAGGAAAAAGCCGGTTGCCTGGCTGGTTTCAAGGTATGTTTCATTTGCTTAGGTGGTGTTAGATTTGATTTCCATTGTGCATCCTTGCTAGGAGATAGTTTGATGGCAGGTCGCTATAGCTGATTTGTTGGTCTGATGGCATACTGAAGCTTACTGTACATGCTAAATATGTTTCGGTTTTTGCCACTGTTGAGGTAATCTCGCTTAGTGTATGGTGTCATTATCATATTTCCTTGTTAGCTGGAGATGATTAGCACTTTAGATTCTGCCTCTGGTCGAGCATGTTGGTTGTTGTTAATGTTTTTATTTGTGGACCACGCTGATTTTATGTTAAGTGAAATAAACAGATGTTCAATGTGGTAATCATAGTTCCAGTTGTTTTTAGTTCAGATTAGGTCTTGTAGTTAAGTGTGCCTTGTTTATTATTTGTTGCTTGGCTGATTAGATTTCACACAGAAGATCTCATGTCTGGACTAGAAAATTTATGTTTCTAGTCCCCGCCTAATGAACTCTTTTTCTTTCTTTTTTTTTTTTTTTTTTTGGGTACTCAAAGGCTTTCCCATACTAGTACATTAGATATGGTAGCATTTTGAGTTCATAATCTATCACAGAGATATTATAGAGTTCTTCGTTCCACGTGCTCTGTTACAATAATTTTGTGAACTGAGTCCTGTTTGACATTTTACCACAACTGCATCCACATGATCCCTAAAAGACAGCCTTCTGTCAAAAGGATCCCCATGGACCTGAGTTTGATTTTTTGTATTGTTTTTGGTATCTATTATTAACTGTGAGGCTTGAGACTTAGCTCTTACATACTATTGTCAAGAGAGCACCATAAAACAGCTGCCTTTTGGAGGCTGATGACAGCATCCATTTGTGCACACCAGTAAGTCACTTTGTCTACAGTTGCCTGTAGCACCTGATCTGTCTGCTGTCTATTGTTCCTGAGCCTATAATCAAGAACTTCTTCTTCTTCTGCTTCTTCTTTTCTAGTCCTGTTCTGCCTTTCAGCTTCAGGTTTTGAAGAGGCATCAGATGAGAGCCTCGGTATGTACTAGGTAGATACTGGCATTTACCACCTCGTCCTAAGCTGCATCTATCCATATCTTGTGTGGTCAACCTCTGAATCTTTTTCCATTATTTCTAAGTGACAGCGTTCCCTGTGGTGCATTGTCTGGTTGTAGTCCTGACACATGTCAGTAGCAAGTGATCTGTAGTCTCTTGTTGAATAGTGGTTCCATCCAAACTTCTTTCCTGATATCGCCAATTTTTTTAATCCTGTTACATTTGGGATTCGCCGCAGAAATTTCTGTTCTGTTTTGATTTTTTTTTTCTGTTTGTGTGTTAATGTTTATGTTTGGCACTGGTGTTACAATGCTAGTAAAATTACTGTATTCAGTAGTGTTCGTCAGGTGTCAATTGTTAAATGTTTGTTTTGTTAAGCTGGTGACATCTTTTAATGATTTGATTTACTTTATTACATCTGCTTTCTATCTCTGATTCCATTCTTCTACTGGACGTGTAAGAACATCATCTAGCTAATGTCAATATCTTTATAACCCTTGGTGGTTTAAGTTCCGCAATCTTGCTTATATACACATTGAAGAGCACTGGTCAAACTGCAGAAATATGTGGTATCCCGGGGTGAAACGGCATAGTTCTGAGGTCCATGTACCCAGGTGAAAGACAGCCATACGTGAATGTAGGACAACTGTTATTCAGTTCACTAGCCAGGGACAGAAACCCTTCTCCATGACATCTGTCACATCCCGGCTGATACACCCTCCTCTGTAAAATTCTGAACCCTAGTAAACAAAGCCTGGCGTAAATTGAGGCATCATTTCTTGGGCAGACTTCAGCCTGAATGGACCTCCTATGCCAGTTTTGTGGTTTTGAGTATTTTAATACATATTTCATCGGAAAACAGGGTATGACCTTCCTGGCTATCATCAACACTACTCCTGAATACTGCCATTACTGCTGATATTACTATAGCGAACCGCTACATTTATACTACGCACATGAGCATGAGCCAGACTGAAGTCATTCAGAAATTGTATTCTCTTAAATGTAAAGTACTACCTCGTATATTGTTAACTATGAGTAAAATAAAACATCATCATCATGTTCATCTCATTCGTTTTGAGGTGCTCTGCAAAATCAAGCTATCAAACAATAGGACAAAGTTGATCAATAACATCATCTGCTGACTCTACCATGACAAGTGTTAGCAGCCCTTAACATGGTTAGAAAAATGATGCAGTGGTTGCTGATTATCAGGTCCTAATTCAGCTGGCCAAGGTAGGAATGCGACACCAGCAACCAGTACCTCGTCCAGTACAGCAACCTCTACCTTGGCTTTTAAAAGCTTTTGTGTTATGCTCTGCACAAATTATCTATGAATTGGATTTACTTGATGATTAGGATTTCTCCTTGGTGAAGGTCAGCTTGTTTGTGTAGTGTGTTTGTGGAGTGATAATGGATGAAGTCATTTCCAACCTACCATCAGAATTTTGCTGCTGCAGGAGATCTTCAGGAATAACAAAACTGATTCGTTACTGAGAGCAGCTTTGCAGTAAATACTGTCAAGGTGATTACCTCAAGTGTGGTCCCCACACACTACTCCAATTATCTTACTGGATATATACTGATTGTCAATTGGGTGAATTCTGTAACTTCATATAGACTCTCTATTCGGGTACGTGATCAAAGAAAGCTGACAACCAGATAGACAGGACTCCTAACATCCGGTTTTATGTCACAGGTCATACTAGCAACAACCATCATTATGAACAATCCCCATCGGTAGACATAGGCAGAAAAAATTAAGTGATGAATACAGGTTGCTGGTTGTGATCACTTGCACTGTTCTCTTTGACTGAACACTGACAATGCCTCCTTGTGGAACTTCTATGTATTGTGTTGTACTGTGGTTCATTCTGATCTGGTTGGCTACTGAAGCCATTCTATTCTCTAGATATCAATACATTTTTCAGTTATTTAGCTGCTATGTCTATCTTAGTTTGTTAAGGTTAGATTTGGAGTTGTTTTTATTTAGTTAGTACTTTCATAAACCTGTCTAACTTTATCTATAAGGGCATTCATGCCTTGTTAAAAGTAAATACAGTATTGTCGGACAACATTTCTGAAAATCCATCCATCTATGCAATGTATCATATTTCAAAAAGTATTACCTTACCTGTGTAAACCTATAAACTACCTGTGTGAATTCTCAACTCTGCACACCTTGCCACGGCAACCCTAGGGGACATAATCTATTGTAAGGTAACACTGCTGTAAATACCGAACCCAGTGGACATAATTCACTGTTTGTGTAAGTTCACATAATGATAATAATAATCTTTCATATTTAATACAGTTTTAGTGTTAATGTTAGGGTTAGAGTTTGGGCTAACCCTAACAAAAACACCAACTTTAGGCTCAAATAATATTAAATATAAAAGAATATTATTTTTATTATATGAACGTTCACAAACAATAACATTACGCCAACAAGGTCGCCGTTGCAAAGATTCATTCAATTCTCACTCATCAGTGTTACTCCTTGAAATTCAACACTCTAACGGTTAAACGGGGATTCTGGGACCTCTCCTCGGGCGATCCTCATTCACAGCGTTGCACTTGTGTCATCGGGTGTTTATCTTATCGCTTGGTGGATGTCTTGGTTGATGTCCAATCTCACTCACCACTCTTGCATCTGCTGGGTCTGTTAAATTAAGAATTAATATATGGATAGGAAAAAAAATCCGCCCGTTTAATGATAGACCTGCTGTGCACAAGATACCATTAGTATCGTTTAATTACTGTTTAAGTGCTTCTAAATCCGGGCCCCAATAATACATTTAGAATCCCCACAATAAAGTTATATAACCACCACCAGGTGTGTTTTATTTTGGAAGAGGGTCAGAGGTTAAGTGCTTTCGTCAATCCAATATCAAGTTAAGATCATAAACACTTAGTTAGGTATCCAGATGTGGTTAGAATGACAGTAAAATAACATTATAGAATGAACAGATTTTCTTGCTTGTTCTATTTTTGTAAACACAAAACAGTTAGTTTTAGACACACATACGCAATTTCCAATGAATGTTTTCAACGAGGAAGACTTGATCCTGTCAACAAAAGAGAACTTTAGGGGTGTCAACACAGGGGACGTCATTCTCAACAAATCTTGACTGACTGCAGAAATGGCTACCGCAGACTGGAACCCGCTGGGGGATGTTTATTACAGGTATGCCGGTTATATCTGTGTGACACTTGTCTCTATTTCTTGTAAAGACACACTGCTGGTAAATCAGTCGAGTAGTGATTTTTAACTTGTAATGCATAGGCAGATGCTGAAGAGTGTATAATCATAATGAACCCACAGCACTCAGCAGACCATTCCCAAAGTCAACGCCCACCCTAAGAGTCTTAGGGCCTAAGACTGAGTAAATATAATATATTATATTATTGTCATTTGTTTAACTCTTTCAGTCCAAGAAAGTAATGATAACTAATTTCATTCTGTACTAAGAATTTGTTACTTCAAAAATGAACGCTTTACTCTAAATGAGTTCACTTAGATATTATTATGAGACAAGAAGTTAAAATCACAATTACTTAGATATTATTATGAGACAAGAAGTTAAAATCACAATTACAACTGAGTTAGTATATTAGTATCAGTCAGGGTAGAGGAGCAAATGTATATGTAGCATCGTTAGGAATTGAGCTGTGCTAAGATATTTCACAGAAGTAAGAACATGAATATTTAAAGAGGTGCTTAGTACTCAATGTATTAAACAAGGGAGAACATATAGCCTTTTTCCTAACCAGATCCATGAGTGTCTGATATTGGTCATCATGAGGATAAGGTGGCTGCCTGGTAGCAACATATACAAGTAGAAGATATCTTATGAGACAGTTACAGTCAGCAGTATTATGTGTTAAAAGTGGTATACACCACAATGTTCAAATGACAATCAGAAAGGGGACTGGCATACTCAAAGAATGTCAGAAATTTAAAGGAACCTAAATATTCATAGAAGAAACCACGGCTCTCCTCCAAACTTCTACCCCGGCATTATGGCAGCCAAACAAATAGCCTAACAGGGCCTCAGTTGTGTGTAAAATGCGGATTTTCTGCCAAGGAACAAATCGCGGCAAAACTAGAATTACTTGACAATTTTAAGAGAGGCTACACTGCAGACGATAGTAGCAGACGATAATAGCGACCGTTGACAATTTCAAGCATTTCTGCAGACGATACTAAAGATGATAATAGTAAACATTGACAATTTTGAGACACGCAACATTACAGACGATAATATCCACATGGCGGGAAGACCACGCGCTCCGACGCAGATTAGCGTCGTTGTTGTCCTCATACTTTTCGGAATGCGCAAAACGCGGTTAAACTCACCGCTGACAGTATCCCCCACACTGCTACGCACGGCATGGATGGGGATCTAAGCTAGATGCCTGGGACTCACAAGCGAATAAATTAGAGGAAGTTGCAGGAGATGCGGTAGCTGCTACTCGTGAGTCCCAGCCATCTAGTTTAGCCCCCATCCGCGCCATGCGTAGCGGTGTCGGCGGTGCGGCGTAGTCGCAGAAACAGGTCAGAATTTTCTTGTCAGGGCCATGGTAAATCACATGGAAAGCACTGTCCTTGTCAATTACCTGTCCAGATTCAAGCAAATAACTTTCTATAGAGTTTAGATTCCTTCTCTTTGTGTTGGGTTTACTCAGCTTTGCCATTTGGATATATGTTCTGTCACTCTGTTTCTAGGTTATCTCTCCATTCGTCTAATGTAAGTTAGCTGGCACTTACATGTAAATTGATAAATACAGTTGGATCTGGTGTATGGATACATTGGTACTTTAAATGGTCGGTTTGGGATAGAAGTTGTTTTGTATCTCAACACTGGAATGGCGGCAAAGAATCTTTGGCCAACAGTTGTTTTTAGTTTGCCCACAGACGTTGCTTGAAATCATCCCTTAGATAAGTTAACTGGATACATACACACTGGTAGATTGGTCACTGTAATTTCATTTGGGGTTTGTTTGGGTGTTCTGCAGTGACGTTTAATGAATCGTCGGAGGGACGATTAAGAAGTAGAGATGACTTTGTGTTGTATGCTAAACTCACTTTGCTGTTCAGGCGTAGAAGGCGTGATCGTCTACGCCAGTCGTGGAGGGGCTGGACGACGATGATGATGATGACAGAGGCGAGTGCAAAAGGTCCAGATTTATATCTGCATCATTTAAAATCCCTTTTATGATTAATAACTTGATTTATGGTATGCATAATTACACAAAATATTTCATTACAAAATCTTTTAAATTCACTAGTAGCTAAAAATATATAGAACTTCAGCTTTACATGGTATCTTTTCCAAGAACCACCTTTGCATGATAATGAATGCACACTAATTAACGTTTAATAACTCAGTTGTTAACAGAAGGAAATAACAAAATAATCATTTCCATTTATCAAACTTGGGATCCTGTGTAGTATCATCATTTCATTTAATTTTGTGTGTTTCCAAATATGAGTTTCTGAAGTTTGTCCATGTCAGTCATACATTATTTTTACAGCTGGCGTCCGACCAATGAATTAATGTACTAAATATAATGTCCACCTTGCTCCTATGCGGTTGAAGAGATATCTCTTTCAGAAAGAGTACAAGTTTTGTTACTTTCAGAAAAAGTACAAGTTTTATTTTTTCTATAGGAAATATGAGCTCTATGCCATGGAATGGACTGGTCTGGTGGACCTGGCTAAGCATACTGTAGCTGCTTCTTCATATGGGGGACCTATAGGTATTCCACTGCCATATTATGTTGCTTTCATGTATTTAATTTTATTGTTGGGACCTATAGGTATTCCACTGCCATATTATGTTGCTTTCATGTGTTTAAGAATTCCATTGTTGTCATTTTTGTTGTTGTTTTTTAAATATTTTTTTAAAGTGTTATGCAGCATGTTCTTTTTATTAGAAGTTAAGAAAAAGAATTTGATGTATTGCCAAGAATTAACTTTAACAAATGGCTTTAATCAGCAAACAAACCAACAACAACACAAATTTAACAAACAAAACATATCTTGACACACACAGAAATGTAGTTTTGCAGAGAATGTTAAAAATGAGTAATCATTTAACAATTTAATACAGTAGTTGCAGTATCCAGCCTAGTGTGGCAGAAGGGTTGGCCTTGGAACAAAAAAAAAAAGCTGGATTTGCCGGAGTTCTATGAATTCTCAGTTTCTGATCCACCCATATCATTGAAAACCCCCATTTTATCCAACAACCATTTTTATTCACATTTTTTTTTTTACCTCTTAGTACAATCTAGAACTTATAAATATTTCTGGTGTATTGTACTGCATGTTTTAAACATTTATTACAGAAAAAGAAGTCTAAAAATACAAATATTGTTTGCATTTCAAGATAAGATTTATAATTTCTATCTTAACTGCAGGAAAAATAAAATCATGTGCATTGTACACTCTGAATACATACACGTTTACAACAACAAAAACATTCAATGAAAAAATTTTTTTTTTTAATTTAGGCTTACTTACAAAAATTATGTAAACTTTTATTTTAAAACAGTTAATTAATAAGTAAAATCGGCGTGAGATGAAAGAGTTGAAACTTACAGTTTTTAGTTTTTTAAAATATCCTTGATAAATGACCGCTTCACATATTTAGTCCTCTTCCTCGACGCAGTTTATCTCCACTTACACAAGCAAATTATGTCAGCTGGTCTGGCTTCCTCCTGCTCAGTTATCTACTGCAGCGCTGCCTCAGCCCACCTGAACCCTTCCGAATATGAGATGAGATTTTTCCTGTCATCTAAACATGCCTTCTTGTCCTGGTCTTCTTCTGTTGCTTCAACCTATGTCACCATTTCCACACTATCTTTGTCAGTTATTTCCTCAAGTTCGTTGTTTGCCATCCATTCTGTAATAATATTCTTTCACAATATTCAACATGGCATATCTGTCCTGGAATACCTTTCCTCATTTTGATTTCTGGCAACCTGTTGTTGTGTGTGTGTATGTGCTGGTCAACTCACTGATTGGCCTGTGCATAAAGCAGCTTTTTAGCTAGGGGCTCGATGGATCTTTCAGAGAGTTTGATTCAGTTTTGTTACACTGCTCATCTAAGATTTTCTTTTGTGCCTCCATTTATCTTTTATTTCTTTGTCAAGGAAACTGCATTTTCATGTTGCAGTCTGATATGTGTTGACACAATTGTTTTTATATATTGATGGAGAGCCAAGAGGTTTCTACTGTAAGTGGCTCAAAAATCATACCAGTCAGAGAAAGACATAAACAGCCACAGATTACATAAAGATGTGATGTGTTAGAGGTAGTGATTTAATAGATGAACACCTGGATTATTCAGTAGTCTAGTGCCCGAACAAAAACAACAACAACTAATAGATACTGATGTCACCTTATCTATGTTTATTTCTAAAGCCCTGATGAAGGATGAGAGCAAAACTGCCAGAGTGGCGACCACTGTGAAACCGGTCATCAGTGTGTATAATGCTGCTGGAAAGCTGCTGGCTCAGATGAGGGTAAATGTTGATTTCACCGTGATGTTTCTGGTGTGGGGAAAAAGGAGGGGGGGGGGGAGGTGATATTGAGTAGTGGCAGTGAACAGGAAAATGTATAATCAAGTGTTGCATGTTGTAATAATGATACTGGTGATGAGTTAAAATGATACCACTGCAAAGGAATCAGTTGTTGGTGTTAGCTGTCATTGTGAATTTTGATTCCAATATCAGGTAATGTTCTGGGAAGTAAAAGTGGCAAGCACATCACCCACAGAGTGCATATAGGTCTAAAAGAGTATGAGTCTAGTATCTTATTCCGAATGCATAACTGGCATACAAATTGTCCTTTTATTGATGAATTTTTATTGACGACTTCTTCTTATTCTTCTGCGTTCATCCGAAGATGTAATTGCGTTGTGTCCGTTTACAGCACGGCTGCAATATTTGCACCTTTCAGCCAACACAGCCGACTTCTGCAGGCATTTGTTGACCGGGTTAGCCTTCCCGGTTATTGATGCCTATTTCTTGTGAAGTGTAGTAAACCTTGTTTACTAAAAAGAGAGATACTTAAGGCCTTGGGTACCAGTTAACTGTATGGTAAAAGGGGTGATAACCCATAAGGTCATCCCTGCTATGAAACCTTTTGCAAGTTGTACATCAAGGGCAAGAGACAGGGCTTGTTGGAGATCCATTGCAGCCAACCTTCATTGTGGAGACGGCACCTGATTGATTGATTGTATTCTTCACAGCTCAGATTGTACAGCAAGGCCCTATGAACAGCGAGAACTAAAGGGGCGGAGAATGTTAGAGCAAGTAGAGCTGCAGAGATGCCATACACAGAACCCACTGGTAAATGTTGTGGCATGCAGCAGTCGACTCCAAATCATGGGTTACATGGTTAACTCTTTGAGTCCCAGGGGGGTTTAGCATCAGAGGCCCAAGGGGTAGTCAAGAGAGATGTAAAATCAGCGCATCTTGTGTTCATTGGGCCTCTAGGCGGGACCTATGAACATATGATGCCTTCCTTGGGACTCAAAGAGTTAAGCAAGATCCCAGTCTGTGCTGCACCTGTTTAGCTGCTGAAAATAGAGGCAGAAGACCAGAAGGCAGACTACTACAACCAAATCATCCAACATTATTGCAATGAAAATATGTTTATGTCTGCACATCTTAGCTATGGTACTCATTGTTGAATGACAATTTAGCTAGTGCATTACTGCCTGTTTGTCTCAGAAAGAGAGTCCATCTATCACTATTGGAGCATGTTGTCAAATGTTGGAACAAAATAACACATAAAGGCTTATTCCCAGTAAAGAAAAAAGAAGAAGGAGATTAATTATTGTTGTTGTTAATCACAAACAGTTATTTTTTTGTCCACTGGTAACTATCTTGTTGTTGCTGCCTCTGTGAATACACATGAGTAGTTGCCTCGTCGGTTGGACTGTATGGATCTCATGGAAAGTAACATCTGTAGGGAAATGTTCTCATGCAGTCTGACTAATAAAGGATTGGTCTATTCCATTAGTGGAACAGTGGCAACATTGTGACATCTGTAGGGAAATGTTCTCATGCAGTCTGACTAATAAAGGATTGGTCTATTCCATTAGTGGAACAGTGGCAACATTGTGACATCTGTAGGGAAAGGTTCTCATGCAGTCTGGCTAATAAAGGATTGGTCCATTCCATTAGTGGAACAGTGGCAACATTGTGACATCTGTAGGGAAATGTTCTCATGCAGTTTGACTAATAAAGGATTGGTCCATTCCATTTATTGTTGTTGTCCATACAATTGGAACAGTGGCAACATTGTGACATCTGTAGGGAAATGTTCTCATGCAGTCTGACTAATAAAGGATTGGTCTATTCCATTAGTGGAACAGTGGCAACATTGTGACATCTGTAGGGAAATGTTCTCATGCAGTCTGACTAATAAAGGATTGGTCTATTCCATTAGTGGAACAGTGGCAACATTGTGACATCTGTAGGGAAATGTTCTCATGCAGTCTGACTAATAAAGGATTGGTCTATTCCATTAGTGGAACAGTGGCATTGTGACATCTGTAGGGAAATGTTCTCATGCAGTCTGACTAATAAAGGATTGGTCTATTCCATTAGTGGAACAGTGGCAACATTGTGACACTGGGTTGGTCCAGCACTGAGGAGCTGCTCTGTATTCAAGAAGATGGTGTGGTTCTTGTGTACGACATGTTTATGACATTCAAGCGCACTTTTGGCATGGGACAGGTCAGTATATCACTGGCCTAGTGCCAACATTTCCTTCTTCTCATCCGTCATTTCAGTTTGTTTCTATTTTACATTTTCTTGTTTCGCCAACATTAGTCAGTTCACTCCATATGTAGAACATCATTTTTATTGATCTCACAATCATTATTTAATCAGTGCTGATGTAAAGTTTTCTTTTCATTGAAATCATCAGCATTCCTCACCTGTCTACGAACAGGACACTGCAGGCTCAACTACCACATGCATAAAATAAAAACTGTACAGTCCCCACAGTGTGCCTATCAGACAGGACCACAAACACCTGAGCACTTTCTGCAGACCTGCCAACTCTACCTACAACTTCAGAAAGACATCTGGCCTCAAGAGCAAAGTGAGCAGAGCAAGCTATGGGGAACCGTGAAGGACCAGCTGCTGACATGCAAGTTCATAGAGGCAACTCACCTGATGGTTTGATCTGAGCATACAAAACTGAATGCAAAGAAGAAGAAGAAGAGACTCAGCTATCTACAGATATGAAATCCAACATATTAATTATATTGTACTGACAGTTCAGTAATAATGGGGTCCAGTAATCCTAGTAAATCATCATTATTAGATAATTCAGTTCTGATGGGCATTAACTTGAGTCCCAAATAACAAATGCTGCCTGAATAACTCAATCTACTGAATCCTCTCCCTAGCTTATGTTTTCTTACTTTTTGTATTTGGTCAGAACACACTCAGGAAAACTGGTAGATCAAATGGTCACTACTGCTGTTATATAATTGTTTTGAAAGTGATGCATTGATGAATTTAAATTAATTTGTATTTGGTTATCATCAATTTAAAAAAAAAAAATGTTTTCCCTCCTTATTCTTGCAAAAAGATTTTTTATTTGTCTTCATCAAAGGTCTGCAACCTCTGCACAATCCAGAAAAATATGCATGCCATAAATGCTAGAGCGCCAAAACCAACAGTCGGCATAAAAAATGCAGTTTGTTGTTTATAGAAGAAGTCAATCACGATAAGTTGGCCATATATGTAAAAAATTGTTACATAAGGTATTTCACCATCCCATACATAAACCCGCTACCTATTATTTTAAAATCCACGACACAACCGCTGTACAAAATGAAAGGCAATCCACATTAAAAATACAGCTCACCTTCCTGTACAGGGCACTTAGTAGCTTTGGCAGCAAAACAGTACACTTCTACACATGTGTGAAAACTGCATTAGCAAAGCGCTGTTGGGAAAAAAAAAAACCAAAAGCTAAACATTCTGCCAAGCCTGTCTGCCATATTGGGTTGGAAGAAGACCATGCTTCATAACAAGCAGTTGCACTTTGATGCAAAAGGAAAAACATATAAGAGAATACAAGTGTTGTGTGCCATCTTGGGTGTACAGCAACCAGCACATGGCCTAGTTGTCTATAGGTACAGTTCACGCATCCACACACAACTCGCAGGAAAACTCAACGACGTAATGTCCGCCATACAAGCACATTTATTGTTACGAACACAGAGGGTATTCGCAAGCCCTCACACAGACAACAATGCAAGCAAAGTGATGTAGACATCTGTCCTGGCTAACATGTTAGACATAGCCCTCCCTTCGCTCACTCCTCAAGCATAGCATCACTTTCCCGGACAGCTTGTACTCACCGCCACTACACCCGAGCTGACCGCTACATTTCTAGTCTACAGCAACTCCGGGCTTGCTGTACAGATGAACAGGATATCTCTCCTATTAACTGGACCTCTGCTGTATAGGGAGCAGACACATCGGCTGCTAGAAATGGACTCATAACTCGTTCTCCAGTATGTGCACACAGCACATCAGCCTCGTCGAATGAACTCCGATGACTGGCAGGACTCCTGGCTCTGAGTCCCCTTCAGCACACAGCTATCCCTGGCATCTCCCCTGTCTTGTTTCACTAGTGAGCTTATGCTTCCCTGCGTTGTCACTCAAAACAGCTACTCTTGTGTGTCCGGTCCTCGTGGCCTGACTCAGCCAACTCTCTCCCTTCGACTGCACCACAACCATTTTCAACTCAACTGTCCGCAGACTGACTCTCAGCTCTCACTGTCTGACTCTCCTTTGCTCTGCGGTCCACTCAACACCAGGATATACCCTTGCCTGCCCCTTGTGAGCTGGAGGATGTTGTAGGATGTCTGGCTCCTATTTTTGCATCTCCACTTTTCTTCCTGTAATGGTCAAAACCCATTAAATCAGGCATGGGATAATTCTTCTGTCAACTTCCATACATAACACACAAACCTTTGAAAATGGCTCCATACTTCTGTCTCTACTACCAAACCAAGAATAAGTTACAGTTGATTATTTGTAACATGCCATACACACACACCATTTTCACAGACTACTACAGTAACATTTTGATTGAAAGATGTACATTTGTGAACTTTGACATAGGAAACAAACATATATCATCATTATTACCTCACTGTCTGTTTTCTGGAATGAGAAAAACATTTAGGGTGTTACTTTCTGGGAAAGTCTTCTATTTAATTTTATTTTATTTGTTAAAGAAGAAAAGATTTTATTTTCTGCATTTGAAAGTGTGAACTATAGGCTTCAGCTACACAAATAACTAAGATGTCCCATCCCCGCCCTGGTCCTGTGTACAGGAAGCCAAAGATGTCAAGATTTTGGATGCTAAAGTATTTCCCAGCTTCCAGGGCACAGGGATTGCAGTGATGACAACAGCATACAGAGTGTTCCTGGTTAGCAACGTTGACAGTATCAGAATAGTCAGGCTAGCTGAAGTGCCAGGTAAGCACAAAGATGTATTGTCAGTGGATAATTAACTGAAATGGTTAGGTCATTTAATGAGAATGGATCCAATGATGCCAGTGAGGGCTTAAAACATGAAAGTAGAAATACCAAGAGATGGGGGATGACGAAGAAGAAGTTAGCTTGAGACTCCACAACATCAAAGCATACCGGAGAATCGAGCGTGCCTTGGCTCAGAAAACGATCATCTGTTAACCTGCAACGCCCAGCGGGACAAAGCAAAAAATGGACAAAAGAAAGATAGAAGATGGTTTAATCGGGCAGTGTCTAGTGATTTTGCTCCTCCACTAGCCTCTGATTTCTGTGTTCTTGATCAGTTTCATTGCTTATCACCCTCCATTATATTCTGCCAGCCTGTCTAGCATTCTTCCCTTGTTGACACACAGTTTGCCAGCCTTTCAGTCTCTCCAGTTAGTTGTACAATGTTCTGTAAAGATTTCTGAAGACTTACTTACAGTCTGTATGTCCCAGGCAGTTTATTGGGCTTTCATTATTTTGGTTTGGCCTTTGAATGAGAACATTTTACCCTGTCTTTTTTATATGTAAACACTAGTTGGTCACAGTTTAAAATGTATAAATAATTCCTGTGTATTTAGTTCTTACCCTGCTATTGTTTATACACATTCACAGTTTAAAATGTATAAATAATTCCTGTGTATTTAGTTCTTACCATGCTATTGTTTATACACATTCACAGTTATCTTCAACTGTAGATGTAGCTTTAAAATGTTTGATACCACTTTTTTTTTCTGTACCTGTGATCAAAACCTGTAGAAATAATGAGTGCTTTTTATAATAGGTCTAAATGAAAGACCCAGTTGCTGGGCCATTGTGACAGCAGACAGACAAGCACGAGCACTGGTTGCTAAAGGTTTAGAACTTCACCTGGTTGATCAAGGAGGCCAGTATCAGCAGCAGGTATATTCTTTTTTTTCCAGAATTTTTTTTACAGATTTTTAAAATCATTTATTTCCAAATACACTTCTCTACAGTCTTTTAAAAATATAAATTTTAATCTATGAAATTGTGTTAAGTGGAAGGTGCCGTCCATCTGAAGATTTTTTTTTTTAAATCCCCTGTGCTCTCATATGTCAGCCTAGGCTAAAAATAGACACCAGGAGACATTCTTGGAATAAAGGCTGCAGGTTTGGTGTTGTTCTCATCTGCCATAAAGTGATTATTAGTTAAAAAAAAAAAAAATTGTCCACATCTACGATCAAGTGGTGATTGGTCCATATAAACATTGTCCAGATCTGTCATCAAGTTGTGATTGGTCCATATAAACATTGTCCATATCTACGATCAAGTGGTGATTGGTCCATATAAACATTGTCCAGATCTGTCATCAAGTTGTGATTGGTCCATATAAACATTGTCCATATCTGACATCAAGTGGTGATTGGTCTATAAAAAACATTGTCCACATCTATCATCAAGTGGTCATTGGTCCATATAAACATTGTCCACATCTACCATCAAGTAGTCATTGGTCCATATAAACATTGTGCACATCTATCATCAAGTGGTCATTGGTCCATATAAACATTGTCCACATCTACCATCAAGTGGTCATTGGTCTATATAAACATTGTCCACATCTACCATCAAGTAGTCATTGGTCCATGTAAACATTGTGCACATCTACCATCAAGTAGTCATTGGTCCATATAAACATTGTCCACATCTACAATCAAGTAGTCATTGGTCCATATACACATTGTCCACATCTACCATCAAGTGGTCAATGGTCCATATACACATTGTGCACATCTACCATCAAGTGGTCAATGGTCCATATACACATTGTCCACATCTACCATCAAGTAGTCATTGGTCTATATAAACATTGTCCACATCTGTCATCAAGTAGTCATTGGTCCATATACACATTGTCCACATCTACCATCAAGTAGTCATTGGTCTATATACACATTGTCCACATCTACCATCAAGTAGGCATTGGTCCATATACACATTGTCCACATCTACCATCAAGTGGTCAATGGTCCATATACACATTGTCCACATCTACCATCAAGTAGTCATTGGTCTATATAAACATTGTCCACATCTACAATCAAGTGGTCATTGGCCCATATAAACATTGTCCACATCTACAATCAAGTGGTCATTGGTCCATATAAACATTGTCCACATCTACAATCAAGTGGTCATTGGTCCATATAAACATTGTCCACATCTACAATCAAGTGGTCATTGGTCCATATAAACATTGTCCACATCTACAATCAAGTGGTCATTGGTCCATATAAACATTGTCCACATCTACAATCAAGTGGTCATTGGTCCATATAAACATTGTCCACATCTACAATCAAGTGGTCATTGGTCCATATAAACATTGTCCACATCTACCATCAAGTGGTCAATGGTCCATATAAACATTGTCCACATCTACCATCAAGTGGTCAATGGTCTATATAAACATTGTCCACATCTGTCATCAAGTAGTCATTGGTCTATAAAAACATTGTCCACATCTGTCATCAAGTGGTCATTGGTCTATATAAACATTGTCCACATCTACCATCAAGTGGTCATTGGTCCATATAAACATTGTCCACATCTATCATCAAGTGGTCATTGGTCCATATAAACATTGTCCACATCTGTCATCAAGTAGTCATTGGTCCATATAAACATTGTCCACATCTGTCATCAAGTAGTCATTGGTCTATATAAACATTGTCCACATCTACCATCAAGTGGTCATTGGTCCATATACACATTGTCCACATCTACAATCAAGTGGTCATTGGTCCATAAAAAACATTGTCCACATCTACAATCAAGTGGTCATTGGTCCATATAAACATTGTCCACATCTACCATCAAGTGGTCAATGGTCCATATAAACATTGTTCACATCTACCATCAAGTGGTCATTGGTCCATATAAACACTGGCACCACGTGTGGCAATGGATGCACTGAAGGATAAAGGGATCCTTTTTCACACCATTAGGTGTATGGTGTTAACCCTGTGTCTGTTTAAATTAGTTGACACTTGGTGGATCATGTATCAGTATAAAAGCATTTTCCTTTATGTGTCAGTACATTTTGTGATTCTCATATAAGACTGAGCCAATGAAACAGTCTCCATCTCATAGGGGAATTTAAACCCTAGAGCACTAGGCTGGCTACCTGGTACCCATGAATAGTTGACTCTCCTGACATGATAAACTGTGTTAATTAAAGTAAAGCCATGCTAAAAATATGCTTATTATTATTTTTGTAATCATTTCACATCATGGTTAATTTGTCGCATACTTAATTGTTTGTTAGCAACCAGAGTTGAGTGAAAATGCTGGACCTATCATAGAGATGGCTGTGTCGTTCAACAGTAAATATCTGGCCTTGTGTACGCAGAAAGGGGTGCTGTGGATTGGCTCTGCAGACTTACAGGTAATAGATTTAGATGTTATCAGTATTTCACATGCTAAAGTGCATTTCCCAAGTCACGCTCTCACACTTTAACAAATATCCTGAAAACTCCTGCACAGATCAACACGGATTCTTGCATGTCGACTTAGACTTACAATTGCACAGGTGCTGCTGTTTCTAAAAGTGGCAAATTTCTTTGATCTATAAGTAATAATTTGTGTACTCTTAAAAATAGCATATAAATAACTGACAAGCGAATGGAGATGGTTTGGAAATAAATTAACATATGCAGCAAAGTGTGGGGATCATTTTGTTAGCTTATCCCTCATACAACGAAAAATCTACAACTCACGGGAGGCTTATGCTGGAAATGATCACCAGAGAGTCATCTTTTAAAAGCATGCATTTTGATGTTTTGAACAGTTCTGGTTACTTAATTGACTGCTAGTATTCTGATTGTATGCTTTGAATCAGTGTTTTTTTTTTTAATATATACCTAAATAGAGCAAAATGAAAACTAGATGTTTGTTTACATTTTACAAAATGTCTCACAAGGACATGATTATTACCAAGTTACATGCCAAATTTCCACAACTTACAGTGAACGGTTACTGAGTTACAGATTTTAAAAGTTGGGCATAACTTTAGGAACAGAATAACTTTTTCCCATTCCACATAGCGAAGGTATGGTCTTGATATTTACTAATCTTTCTATGTGTTTTCCAATGCAAGTTAACTCTTTGAGTTCCAAGGAACGCATCATACGTTCATAGGTTCCTACCTAGAAGCCCAATGAACACATGATGCGCTGATTTTATTACTTTCTTTACTACCCCGGGACTCAAAGAGTTAACAATTTGATGACCTGAAATATGCTTTTGTTTTAATGTTCTAACTTTAATTTTTAAACTGGAATCCTGCTGATCCTTTTCTCCATTCTTCAAATATACCAAACTTCCTCTGACCCAGCCCTTTTGTATCATTCTGTTTTGTATGTAAATGTTTGAGGGACTTTTCTGCATGTCTACATGGACTCCTCCTGTATAACTGTAACAGTTCTGTCCTTCTTCTTCTTAGTATTTACCGACTGTAAACTGGAACAGAAAGTTCTGGTTGTTAATCCGTGTCTGATACTTTGGTTTATTCCAGAACTTGAGTTTGTGTGCACATCTGTTTTACATATCTGGCATATTTATGTGGAGGCTGTTGGTTTCTCACCTCTCAGGTAGATGCACTCTGACTTCAAAGAAAATACCTCTAGTTAGTCCCCTTGTACAAAATGCTTGCTAGGAGGCAAATCCCCCCCCCCCCCCCCCCCCCCCCCCCCCCCCCCACCCCTAACATTCACTTCTTCTGGCCACAAAACCTACCACATGGCAACAATTATATCCAACATTTAACTTGAAGATGACATTAACTTTTTCAGGACTTCATTTTTTTTTCTGGGGTTTTCAGCTGAATTTTTTTTTTTTTTTTGCTGCAACATGACAAACTTAAAACCTTCCTGAAGAAAAACTATTGGCTGTATAGTGACACATAATACATCAAATAAAAGAGAAATGAAAGCAGAATACATCTTAACTGTTTGAAGATCAGTATTGCAACAGATGTTTCCAGTTTGGGTAAAGATGGCAGGATGTGTTTCCTTCCTAACCTGGTTTAAGACTGTTGATCGACGACCCAAACAAGTCGCCATCGTAAAAAATCCTTTGTTTTAGAATCAAATTTCTAGCTCTGAATGTTATGATGATGCTAAGGCTGTGTCCTATCACCAGTGCTCTTTGGAATAGTAGTGAATTGGGTTATGCGCAAATCCACACAAATTTAGGTATTAAATAGGGCAACAAAATTCTAGAAGACCTTGACTTTGCTGATGACAGTGATTTTCAGTTCAAAACACCTAGATATCCGAGATTTTACCAATAGTTCAGACGACATCAAACTAAACAATCACATTCTTGCAAAGGCAACAGCTTTACATACCCAGGCAGTAAGATAACATCTCTAGGAGGCTCAGCGCCAGAAATATCATCTAGAATCGCACTGGCATCTAGTAACAAACTGACACACATCTGAAAGTCAAAGGCACTCAGCCACCACACACAACTTAAGATCTTCAACTCTTGTGTAATTCCAGTGCTAACTGATGAATGCGAGAGTTGGAAAGCAACGGTAGCTCAAGATAAAAAAAAATTTGACAACTTTGAGAACAAATGTCTTAGAAAAATACTAAATCTCCACCGCACAGATTTTAGTTCCAGTACGCAAATAAAACAAAGAGACTAAGCAAGACTGTGTATCCAATTTTATAAGAAAGCACCACAAGAACTACATCGGTCATACATTCAGAATAGATCAGACAAGACTCCCCCTATATGGACACCGGAGGGGAAAAGAAAATGGGGAAGACCAAGAGAGACTCTAGGTAGAACCATCATCAAGGAAGGTTCAACCATGGGCCTAACAAAAATTCAAGACCTAAAACAGGTGGCAGATAACCGCCAGACATGAAGAGCTATTACCTCTGCGCTGTACACCGCTCCAGGCCCAAGAGGAAAGACTAACTAACTAATTAACTAACTAAATGGCAACAACAAAATATTAAAATGACACAAAAATTCAAGGATATAAACACCCATGAAGATTTTTTACACATGAAGTTCTATACATACCTTACTATTTTACTTGATCAGCAACACTTATATCCATTTTTAATCATTTATACGCCTTTTCTTTTCAATTATACATCAGCTCATTACTTTGGATTTATGAAAATATTGGGAGGGCATGTCAGATTTTACAACAGTGGAATTCCAGACACATCTGATTGAAACAGGGATGATCCGATTAAAATATTTTGTTCAACTTCATCCCAACCCGTATTTTTAGCAGTAGGTGTTCCACTTACATTATTAATCATCAGTTCAAGACTGTTGTCACTATCTGGTTCAGATTCATCAAAGACAGCAGCAGTACAGACAGTTAAAGACCTTTTCCTTTACCATTTTGTCGGAGAATCACTCAAAAATTGTATCAGACTTAATTAAATAAAACAAATCAAAAAGTAAGACAGTCACCACACTAAGCTTCAAAAACAAAAAGCCTTTGTTTAGCTAATTCTAGTTTTTAAAAACATGCTTATACAAATTCATTTCCCCATCAAATAAAATAATATTAAAGTGTCTATACCTGGCGCCACTTAAATTGCGATGTGTCTAAAAGTGTTGGATTCAGACACCACTAAAGTGGCGATATACCTTCAAAAAGTTAACTATTTAATTGCATACCCAACTGAATGATGATTTGAATCTGATTTGAACTTGCTGCGAAGGTTCCTCATGTTGTTAGTCCAAAATTGGTGTCAGTTGATCATACCATACCACTTTCGCTGTCATAGAACAGGTATCTTCATCCATTTAAGCCTGACCTCACATACATATGTTTCTTTGACATCTTTTTCTTTTTTACTAATGTATTTTTAGCAGTGGTCCGCCACTGTTGATAAGGCCAAAATATTCTTTTCAGTTGACTGTTTGTCAGTAGTTGCCTTATTAGACATGTTACATAGTGATGCGAGTCACACTGTTGGCTGCTTGTACCGTCTGTTTGCTGATATCTGTATATGAAAAGTGTACCAGCTTACACCTCATCTAAGCTTCATATTTACATGGCTGAAAGTGGCAAACAATATCAACTGATACTTAACACTGCCATAAGTACTTAGTAAACTACTTTGTTTATCTGGCAGCTTAGAAAATAGTGAAGCATATTAACATATTTACATACTTGTCATTACTGAACATTGTATCACTTTAACAAAACAGCAACTCACATAATAGCATGGCTTCCATTGAGTTTTAAAAAAGCTCATGCAAACACCATTGTATTGAAATGTTTTTCAGGTTTTCATCACATAAAGTGATATTTTATTAACGTGTAGAGGCAAGTTACGTTCTTTGCTAGCTGTAAACACACTCAGCAGTAATACATTTAATTTATATTTAAAATGGAAGTAAACTGTTTTCCTTAAATCTTATTGTTGCTCTGTTCTCAGAAGAAATATTGTGAGTTCAATACCAGTTGCACAAAACGACCACAGCAACTTGTGTGGTAAGAATTACTAAATATTACCTCTGTTTTCCTATACAGTAATGTGTTATTTCCTAATCTATATACATTTTCAGTGCTACACAACCCATTGTGTGTTAGCCTGAGCTGAAACTATATACCTTTCATAACTTCCTGCAGTCCTGTGAGCTGTGAACTTTAGTCTTGTTCTGTCTCTTGCAGGAAATAAACTATTAATTCACTGGAGGTGGGTATGTGCAAGGGGAGCTTACAGACAAGCTAAAAAAAAAAAACTGTATAAATTATGTAGACTCTCCTTTTCTCTGCTGGTCACCCTGGTAGATCCCGAGAGAGTACACTTTCAGACAATTATATACCCTTTAGATTGGGTAAAGAACATTTGCTAAACTGTCAAGTTACTTAAATGTTCATCAATTGCATATAATAAAGAAATAAGGGGAAGTCATTCATCAAGTTGCAAATAACAAACAGATAAGGGAAACTCATTCACTAAGTTTGCAAATAACAAAGATATAAAGAAAATACATTCACTAAGTTTGCAAATAACAAAGATATAAAGAAAATACATTCACTAAGTTTGCAAATAACAAAGATATAAAGAAAATACATTCACTAAGTTTGCAAATAACAAAGATATAAAGAAAATACATTCACTAAGTTTATACAAAGATATAAAGAAATACATTCACTAAGTTTGCAAATAACCAAAGATATAAAGAAAATACATTCACTAAGTTTGCAAATAACAAAGATATAAAGAAAATACATTCACTAAGTTTGCAAATAACAAAGATATAAAGAAAATACATTTACCACGTTACAAATAACTAAGAGATAAAGGAAACTCATTTACCAGGTTGCAAATAACTAAGAGATGAGGGGAACTCATGCATCTATTTGCAGAAAACAAAGAAATAAATAGAACGCATAATTTTGATATTCACCGGGTTGCAAATAACAAAAAAAACAGTAAAGAGAACTTATGCATCAAGCTGCAGAAAACAAAGATAAAAAGGAAACTCATGATTTTGATATTCATCAAAGAGGTCAAGGGAACTCATTCCATCAAGTTGCTAAGAACTGTCCAATTTCCAGTTCCAATTCCTTTTAAGAAAAAATCAAAAACTCAACCACATTCAACCTGCTCCTAGCTAGCCGAAGAGCTGCCAACAGTCTCCGGCTATATTTTTGGTCTTGTATATTTGCACCAATTTCGTGGCTAAAGTTCTGGTATTTGCACCATCTCTGGGCTTAATGCTTCTGTCCTCCAAGTCAAACCGCTCATTCCCTAACCTGTTGTCAACTGTGTTCTTCTTGCTCTCTCATTTCTGATGTTTTCTCTTTGGTTCAGGCTCCTTCTGATTTGACCAGGAGTATCTCATAGGCGAGCGAGCTTCTCAACATAATGTCCTTTGGACCACCATTTATAGTTTTAAAATTTTGAGTATTTTTTGCCCAAAAAAGTACTGAAAACAGTTTTTAGGTTTGGATACATCCGAAATGTGAAAATATTCCACGTGAGACCATATTGGTCTTATAGTTGTCTTCCTGCAATAAGAACGGGTTAATCATGTCATGAAGATGTGTGTGTGAAATGTTAGGTGAAGCCTCACAATGATTCTATCCGTCATTTGTTACAGTGTGATCTGATTGTGTCGGTTTGGGTTGGTAGCTAGGCTCTGTTGTATGTAAATACAGGATCCCGGAAATACTCAGCTCTCGCTTGAAGATCCAAATGTTCGGCGATGAGGATTGTTGTGGTTTGTGGGGTACCTGACTCTAGTGCTCTCTGAGGGTGGGGGGGTGGGGGGGGGGGGGGGAGATTTTACTCATACTGCATCCAGAATGGGTAGGGAGAGGATAGGGGAAAGAGGGTAGGGAGGGGGAAGAGGGTGGGAAACCATTTAATCATTCTTTGTCATTGCTGTCTTTTCTTATATCTGATTGTGTCTCCCAAAAAAACAAACCTGCATAATGTTAGATACCTTAATACAGGTTGTATTAAAATCGCCTTGCTAGAGGCGATACTTAATATCCACAACATTACATAACATTTGGAAATGTCATAAATATGTTATAGTCCTGTGAATACATTTCTTTCCCAAAGTAGCAGACATAACTCTGGTGAACTGATAAACTGCTGAGATGTTAATCCTTATTAAAACCTCAAGTGTTTTATAAATGTGTCCTTTCTCAGGTGTGGCAATGGAGCAGTGGTGGGGCTCTGGGATAAACTTGTTTTGGTGGTCGGGCCAGACAAGGACTGGATTAGGTTGGTTATTTTTTTAATAAGAAATTGGCTAATAAAGTACCATTTAATATTCGCTATCCTCGTGCAGTTGACAACAATTAGTTTTAGTGTTAGATGACTTACACAACCACAGAGAGAGAGAGAGATAGCTTATCATAAACCATTCAACTGTTAATGGATATACTGTACTTTACTTTAAGAAAATCCACAAGTTGTTTACTTCATTTAACAGGTTTCAGAATCTGTACTCGTACTTTTTTTCCCCCTCTTTTATGCTTCACACTTGTTTATGTTCCTTGCCACACTGCGGCTTCATGTCTTGTTGCATTCATACTCATGATATCATCTAAGGCTAACAATATGTAATCTGTTAAATTATCTGTCCCTCTCATCCTACTATTCCCTATATTCAGATTTTGGAGTTATCAGGAAAGTAAACATAGAAGGACCGGGAAAGCTGACATAAATTAGTCGACACAACATCCTTATTGTACATCAAATCATTCAGTTCATAAGTCCTCAGATCCCATCAGTAAATCCCACCAGTTTTGTGTGTGTGTTAGTTTACTGTTATTCTTCTTTGGCTCACTGCATAGTGCTCTATTTAGTCTTCTTCTGGTGAGATGCAATTTTTCGTTATTTGAAGTCCTACTCTGGCTTTTGCCAGGGGCCGCAATATAGCCCAGCCATAAATATGGTCTAATGGTTGAACGAGGTTTCTGGGACCTCTCTATGGGTGATCCTCATCCACATGGTGGCACTTTGTGTCATTGGGTGTTTATCGCTTGTGTGATGTCCTAGTGGGGTAAAATCTACTACTACTTCATAGTGCTCTTGTTGGCCAATCCCTTTTTTTTTTTAAACTTGCTATACTTGTAGTCTGACTGTAGTTGCAGATTCACAGTCATCACTTGGATCTTGATTCTCGCAAATGTCATTCTTCTCATCTAGAATACAGTATAACGGCCTCATCAGTGGCTTGCCTACTCTTCACATTAGCCTTACCTGCAGGCATATCAGCTTGTTCATTTCCTTGAAAACCTGCATGCCCTGGAACAAAACTGAAATGATCTTTATCAACTGCCTCATAGACATCAACCACTGTCTTCATACCTAGCCATCTATCTTCCTAAGCATATTCATTGAGTTACTGAGAAAGCATGCCTGAGGAAAGGTCTCGAAAGTCTGTATCTCCGGTGAACTGACATTATAAACATATATGTTATAAATTCTTCATTGGCATGTGCGTGTGCTTGCATGTGGGCGCATGAGTAGGCATGCGAGTATGGTGTGGTGTATGTGTGTGTGTGTGTGCACACGTGTGTACGCTCACGTGAGAGAGAGAGAGAAAATCAAAAATTCGCATCACTGCACTTGGGACATTCCTAGCCATGCTTTGTCTCCTTTCTCAATAACTGCGCCCTTCTTTGGAATCGTCCTTAGTTGTCTTCAGAGCTGTTCCCTTCATTGGAGCTGTTCCCTTCCTCAGAACTTTTTTCTTCCTCAGAACTGTTACATTTCTCAGAACTGTTACATTTCTCAGAACTCTTACATTTCTCAGAACTGTTCCCTTCCTCAGAACTGTTCCCTTCCTCAGAACTGTTCCCTTCCTCAGAACTGTTCCCTTCCTCAGAACTGTTCCCTTCCTCAGAACTGTTCCCTTCCTCAAAACTGTTCCCTTCCTCAGAACTGTTTCCTTCCTCAGAACTGTTCCCTTCCTCAGAACTGTTCCCTTCCTCAGAACTGTTCCCTTCCTCAGAACTGTTCCCTTCCTCAGAACTGTTCCCTTCCTCAGAACTGTTCCCTTCCTCAAAACTGTTCCCTTTCTCAGAACTGTTCCCTTCCTCAGAACTTTTTTTCTTCCTTAGAACTGTGGCAGTTAATAACTACAATCTATGTGTCAACAACCTGCTGGTCCAGGTTATAAATCTATGGCTGTGCTGCAGACCAGGTGACAGATAAACTCTGCTAAAGGAACACACCAACCCGAACGCCCGTTGAACACACACACACACACACAATCTTTAATATCAAAGAGCATGAACTTATACAGTTTAGCTTCAGGAGGGGTAGAGCTTCTTATTTTGAAACCAGGCCGCTCTAGTTTTAAAATTGCTAAATAAGCTCTGAGCTCCTACAACACTCCCGTACAGCTGTATGGTACACAGGAAGATATAGACTGCACGGTAACTTTCATAAAGGCTACTGGCTCCCTGATATAAGTTTTTCTGACAGAAGGATCAAAGAAGAAGAAGAAGAAGAAGAAGAAGAACAAACAGTTCATCTTAGATGTCTATGGTAATCACATTGTTAATCTTATACTTCTGTCGGTGATATATGCAGTTTGACTGGGGATAATCCTGGGAAGAGAGGAAGAGGAAGGCCAAAGAAAAGATGGGTGCCGGATGTAGTGAATGATCTCCAGATGGGTGTATCATATGCGGGACATCTTGCTTGTGATCAAGAAGTTTTCCAGAGGGTTGTCATGGGAGCAGGGTTCTACTGACTGACTGAGTATAATGTAAGTAAAGTAAAGGACACCTTTAGGTGTATCGGGCATATAGGGCTAGACCTATACTTTTATAGACCAATCGGCACAAGATGGGTGATGTGGTCAGCATTACGCCGGCCGCCTCTACTTCCGGACTGCACCCAGTACCCACTCAAAGCTGGGTCGACCTGGGAGCCAAAAGTCATTTTTTTTTGAAGAAAGTCCAGCTTTTTCCAAGGAGGAAACCCACGACCTTCCTATCCGCAGCGAGCATCTAGCTGCTCTGCCACGGCGATTTCCTGATGATAATGTCAAATGTGTATTTAAGTTGAACAATTTCATATTTTATTGTTCATGATATGTTGCTGTAATGCATTTGAGAAGATACAGTGAAATATCCCAGGCAATTAATTATGCAGTGTATTGTTCTGTTTGTAATCTGTTTTTTGTTGGTTGATTAATCATCCACTAGATACAATATGGACTGTTCTGTGCACTTGCTACAAGAAGAGGATGGACTTAGAATTATTGGAAATGAAACACATGAGTTTCTACAGAAAGTTCCAAGTAAGACTCAACAAACAAAAACCTTTACAAGATATTTTATCAGATAAGCAGGTTTTGTCACAGTTAGGCAGTGAGAATTGTGCAAAATTGTGTGCCATAATTTCTTTTATTTGTGGTTAGACATTGTTAAAAAATGCATTTGTACTTTTGGTCTGCAGTCTGCTTAAATCTGGAGTGTGGTCATGAATTTATCATTTTATAATATTAAACTAAAACAAACCAGAAGAGAACATTAAAAACCATGGAAAGTCTGTGACTAAGAAAGGCTGCTAGAGTGACTAGAAGAGATAAAATCAGGAATGATGAGTCATAAGGAGGCATATCTTGAACCCTGCTTACTTGTCTGGAAAGGAAGAACTCAGGAAAGGCATTACCATCAGTATCTCCAAAACTAAATTGATGATGATCTCTTCTTTTCTTCTTTTTTGCTTTCGGTTTTGTATGCTCAGATCAGACCATCAGGTGGGTTGCCATGGTGATCTCAAGAGAGAAGAAGAAACATTAGATCATGATGGGAACAGTATGCATTGGAGCAGATCAGCTATTTCATGTACCCTGGAATTGTAATAGACAGGAATGGAGGCATTAAGACTGATTTAGCTACTTGAAACACAGCAACTGGCAGACTTTTCCAGGCATAAACTGAGGGATATCTCAGCAAAACAGAAATTGGTAACAAGATGAAAATGGCCGTTTACCACTCTACCTATGTGCCAGTCCTGATCTACAAGTGTTTTTTGAGGGCAATGACAATGGCTCACAGTTGTCAGTTTCAGGCCTCAGAAATGAGTGTATCTGAGAAAGGTAGTACAAGTGACAAGAAGTAACAAAGTTTGCAATCAGACAATGTGACATGATCTTCAAACCCAGGCCTAACAAACTGTAAGTATATCAGTCACAGTTACGATGTTTGGACATGCGTGCAGAACGGGAGAGGATCAGCCACCATGACAGGCATGAGAGGCCAAGAACCAAGGAACCAGATCTCCTTGACGACCCAAGTTTTGCTGGGAAGATAACATCTGACAATCCTTGACTAACAGAGGACTGGAATTGAACAATGCCAGAAATAAATCTGCTCACAGAGAAGTCTAGCGATCTCTCTGACAAGCGAAAGAGTGTTGACTAAGTAAGTCATAAAAGAAAAAGTCGGCACAAAACCAGTTCTAAATTACATACAAAGACAACAATAACAACAAACATATAACAGTTTGCCCGCTTGGAGAGAATGCCTTGCGACATTATACCGTACAGGGCATACACCAAAAGAGGACATGGACATAAAGCAAGGAGTAGACAAAGAACTAGGTGGAAAGATAAGATCAGAGAAACTACAACAGCACGTCATGTCTGTGGTAAAGGTGGCCAGAAAAGCAAGAATAGAACCTTGACAAAGAACTAGATGGAAAGATAAGATCAGAGAATCTACAACAGCACGTCATGTCTGTGGTAAAGGTGGCCAGAAAAGCAAGAATAGAACCTTGTATCCCTCTTGACACCCAAAGCGATACAAGAGGAAATGAAGAAGAAGAAAAGCCCTCAGAGTCAATTCTAAAGCATTTGTTCCTGCAGGAGAACAGCTCTTTCTGGTAAGATATACATCATTTAGCAACAGTTGGGTAGCTAATAGATATTTTTCTGTTAGCAAGTATACCATTTAATTATGGTGGGATACAAAAAGGCCCTGCAAGTGTTGCCTGGGTACATCTTATAGATCTTGAAAAATATTGAAGTGGATAGAAGGCAACAAAGTTTTTAGAATTTCATGCATTAAAATGTGACTTAAAGCTCTTGAACCAATTAACATTGACAATAGCATTTAAATTTTCATCTGGATGGGCAGTTGATGTGATGAAGAGACACAGTTTTTCACACTACCATGAATAAAGGCTTTTGATGTTTCAAAAGTTCCTAATAAGATTAAGAAAAGAACTGATCTGTGACCTTGCACAGATTGGCAGTTCTAATCACACATAAAAAAAAGAAGCTTTATTAGTAAAAGTAGGTCAGATTAAAGGACCCTTTTACCACGCCTTCAGGTGTATTGGTGCATATAGGGCTAGACCTATATTTTTATAGACCAATCGGCACTTGGTGGATAAAGTGGTCATTACCCCAGCCACGTTTATTTACCATGACTATACCTGCTACCCACTCATGACTGGGTCAGCCTTGGTACCAAAGTTGTTTATTGTTCATTAGTAGAGCCAGACAGCTGTGTTTGCATGTGGTTCAGATAGAAACAGTGGCCACTTGTCATAAGTTTAAAGAGAAAGACATCTGAAAGAAGTACAATTTCTTAAATGTTTGTGTGTTGAAAGATAGATAGATAAGTAGATAAAGAACTAGCTAATGATTTGTTAAATGTGTTTCAGCAACACAACGAGGTAGTCTACGAATAAAGTCTTCCATGTTGGTCTCTAATGATCTCGCTGTTACTAGATGCCTTCTGTTCAGATATGATCTGACTGTAATATGTTCAGTTTTCAGACATTGTTAATAAACCAGCGAAAGATGCTGTCCATCTTAAAAGGGATTATTTGGTTAAATGAAAGTCATCATGAATATACATTACCATACGCTTATATGTGTCACAGAGTGGGTACTGGCTGCTTACAAGAGATTTGAGGAAACCATATTACAACAAAGCTTCCTTATGTGATTTATTTTGAGTTCACTTTACAGTATCAAGAACCTTGGAAAAAATGGGGGGGGGGGGGGGGGGGGGGGAACAGATGTTATTAAATAGAAAACAAATCTGTACTTATTAAAATTATACCAATAAGGAAACTGAATCAGTAAAAGATGAACTTCTGTGTAGCATGTATATGGTGACAGAATTCCATAGTACCTTCATGTGCAGTGGGCACATAGGGCTAGACCTATATTTTACAGACCAATCCGCACACAGTGGGTGTTGTGGTCAATATCATGCCGGGTGTGTTTACTTCCCAGGACTGTACCTGGTACCCGCTTAAAGCTGGGTTGACCTGGAGGTCAAGGTCATTAAAAAAAATTATGGCTCCGCTAGGGCTCCAACCCGTGACCTTCCAATTCCCAGGTGAGCACCCGCAAAGATGTATGTGGTGCATACCATTTACCTTTGTTTATTATACTTTCAGGCTTTCAGTTTATTAACAAATATTTTGGAAAAAGAATCTTGAAACTCTGTATGAATCTCTCCCTATATTGGTTCTGGGGCACACTTGAGGAGGGTAGGGGGATTGTTGCTTCATGCGATCATAATGGGAAATATTACCTATTCAGAAGGAAATCTATTGAAATTATATATTGTAGAGATAGTTATGCCACTATTTCTTTAATCAGTGTCTGTGATTGTTGAAGTGTTAATTGTCTCTTGTTGCTTTCTGCTAGCGGTTACTGAACAGATATTCAAGATTGGATCTATGGAACCTGGAGCTATGTTGTTTGAAGCAAGTAAAGAGTTTCAGGTAAGATCATGGCAGTACAGTGTAACTAGCACATACATTGGCTGTGTACATTGAGATTTTCATCATTGGTGTCTTTTAAATATTATTTCATTTGAAACTTATGTTGGACTCTATTTGTTTAAAGATTAATTTGTTACAATAAACATAAGTTTGTTTTTAAAGATGCAGAAATGAGCATTTTTGGCATCAGAGATTCTCAAAGGTGATTTATCTTCTTTAGTTGCCTTGTCTGGGGACAGACATTGGCTGGTAAACTCTTTAGTCCTCTCTTTATCTGATATTTGGATGAAGGTAATGTATTTGTATTATGTTTGCTGACTTCAACATTACACAAAGATCAATATAGAAAAAAAAACCAGAGTCATGAGAATAAGTAGAGAGCAACAAACTATTGAAATAAAGATCAAAGATTAAAGTCTGAAACAAGTGCAATAATTTAAAAACTTGGGAAGCATCTTTATACACAATGGTAAACTAGACAGAGAGATAGAAATGAGAATCCACTAAGCCAATAATGTCACATACCAACACCCTTTTATTCAAGTAAAGACAGAAAGACGAATTATAAATACAATATTTATACTGACTTTAGGTTACTAATGTCAAACTTGGACATTGACAAAAGAACACGAAAGAAAACTAACCACCTGTGAGATGAGATGTTTGAGAATGGCTGTGAATAAAACCAGAAGAGATCGAAGGAGAAACAACGTGCTCACAAGAACTGTTGGAACAACACCCATTGTCAAATTTATTAAGAAACAATGAATGAAATGGTTTGGCCATCTAATGAGCGTACAACCTAAAAATCGAAACATCAAGAGGCAGGGGATGACCGAAAAGAAGATTAATTAAAGGAGTCACTGACACCTTGAGACTGCATAACATCACGGCATATCAAGCGACTAAGCTCACTTTGGCTCGGTTGCCGATCGTCTGATGAACTGCGATGCCTAGCCGCATAAGCAGATATTGACAAAAGAAGAAGCTAAGTTTTTTAAGCTTTCCACAGCTGCCTGTGTTTTCTTCTGCCACTCTTGCTTAATGCTTTCTGGCATAGGGCTCATTTTTTCATCACATCTGCTCATATAAATCTGTGCACCTCCTTTATCTTAGAAGTAATAAAATTTGTTAATTAAAGAATTCTTACTAAGAAACTAACAGTCCACATTAGTAATGTCACGGATGTTATGTTATGTTACCACAGTTAACTTTATTGCACACTGGGCATTCCCATGTTTCCTGTTCTCTGATACAGCAGCCACCCCATAGTGCTGCTGATTGTTCCCATAAGAAGTTGGTAATGTCACCTAACTTGACCCCGAAGACGGCATAGACACCCGTCACCAGGCTTTACTCCCAGGTCATTAATCCAGTAAAAGGAAGTCACTTGTCATGTAAAAAGAAGAAACAGGAGTCACCTTTCACAGTCTAATTACAGATAGTTGAAGCATTCATATCAGTGTTATTTTGCTCAGCTTTTTTAGGTTATAATTAGTATGTTAATTTTTTTCTTTCGTATAATGGATATTAATATTTTACTGACGCGTTTGTTTCTTTTGTATTCAAATGATTGTGGTGCTCATGTTGTGCTACCCATCTACAAAAATATTTACAGATGTTCAATAATTGACTTATTTTATTGATATTTTGATTTATAATCTTGATTCTCAGTTTAGGAAATGTTTTTAGAAATTGTGGTTTTCATGATATACTCACTTTTTTGTTAATTATTTCCTGTTGTTCTCTAGGGCAACTTTTATCATTGTCACTAGTTGACTTTAATGGGTTGTGTATTCATTTAACGGTGTCGTCAGATAAACAGTGAGCAGCTACAGTGACTGCCATTATCTTCTTTTCATTAATGAATGCTGTCAGTGTATATGGTGCATTATGTGTTGCAATGATTTGTCTTTACAATCTTGCAGATAGTCTCAGTATATTGACTTTGTTTCATAAAGGACAAAGCCATAATTATGTTCCATCGCTGAATTTCCTACCACATGAGTTGAGTGTATGACAGTAGTCAGACTTGTTTTTTTTTTTTTTCCACATGAATCCATGGATGCCCCACGTAAAACAACAAGAGCAGTTCTGTGCCATGACATGCAGGTTTGAGGGGAAAGCTACTAAGGAAAGTTAGTAGGAAATGGGTCAGACTGAGATGCTGAATGCCCTCAGAGAGGAAAAGTGTGACACTGTTTAGAAACCTTGACAACACTGCTAAACCTACATGTCAATAGGAGTGAAGCTAGACAGCAGTGTTATGCAGATAGCCAAAACAGAATAATAAATCAGTTTAGAACTAGTGTCATTAGTCACCAGATGTTGAGGGATTATACAGAGGATGGAATCCAGACACTTATGGGCTGAAGGATTTGATGTGCAGTGTGGATGGCCTATTGATCAACTGACTGACTAATGCTGATAGTTTGTTTAATGTTTTCTAAGCCTATGCAACCGATGAGACCCTTAATTTAATGTTGGTTTCTTGTTAGTAGATGCTTGTTGTCATTGGTTACCTGCATACAGCTTTACACTCAACCCTTACACAAATATGCTGCCCATAGTCTTAACTTACTAATTACAAAATTGTTTTTCATTTCAGAAACGTAATCAGAAAGCAGATGAATACATTAGAATGATTAAGGACAAGTTGGATGTGGGTGTCAATCAGTGTATACAAGCAGCAGGTTATGAAGTAGAGCCAACAAAACAGAGGATGTTATTGAGGGTAAGTATACAATCATGCACAGAGTAGAGCCAACAAAACAGAGGATGTTATTGAGGGTAAGTATACAATCATGCACAGAGTAGAGCCAACAAAACAGAGGATGTTATTGAGGGTAAGTGTACAATCATGCACAGAGTAGAGCCAACAAAACAGAGGATGTTATTGAGGGTAAGTATACAATCATGCACAGAGTAGAGCCAACAAAACAGGATGTTGTTGAGGGTAAGTATACAATCATGCACAGAGTAGAGCCAACAAAACAGGATGTTATTGAGGGTAAGTATACAATCATGCACAGAGTAGAGCCAACAAAACAGAGGATGTTATTGAGGGTAAGTATACAATCATGCACAGAGTAGAGCCAACAAAACAGGATGTTGTTGAGGGTGAGTGTACAATCATGCACAGAGTAGAGCCAACAAAACAGTGGATGTTGTTGAGGGTGAGTGTACAATCATGCACAGAGTAGAGCCAACAAAACAGAGGATGTTGTTGAGGGTAAGTGTACAATCATGCACAGAGTAGAGCCAACAAAACAGTGGATGTTGTTGAGGGTGAGTGTACAATCATGCGCAGAGTAGAGCCAACAAAACAGTGGATGTTATTAAGGGGGAGTGTACAATCATGCACAGAGTAGAGCCAACAAAACAGAGGATGTTGTTGAGGGTGAGTGTACAATCATGCACAGAGTAGAGCCAACAAAACAGAGGATGTTATTTGGGGTAAGTATACAATCATGCGCAGAGTAGAGACAACAAAACAGAGTATGTTATTGAGGGTGAGTATACAATCATGCATGAAGTATAGCCAACAAATATAGCAGTAGTAATTTAAGCAACAATATCCTTTCAACGTATCTGGGTTATAATTAGGATATATAGTTTTTTTCTGTTTCAAAAATGTATATCCACGCCTATAAATTAAACAGATAAATAGAAGATGTTATTAAGTGTAAATATACATTCATACACTGTTTGTTCCCGCCTCTCCCCCCTCCCTTTCCCCTTCCAGCATTCCTGTTTTTACAGCTGTTTTCAGTATTCCCTCTAGTGAGGTATCCACAAAATGTGAATGTAGGCTTCTCATGGGAGAAACTTGTTCTCTGTGTGAATTGTTTTCCTGTAAAATTGTGTCCTTACTCGTTTTGTGTGTCTGCAGCATTTTCAGCATGTGTGAATAGAAACATATCTCTGGACACTGCCAGTGATCAGCTGAATGACCGTGACTCATGTTCTGACCTCAGGATTAAGACCAAGTTATTGTTGTGATTGCTCGCCTTCATCAGCAACAAAAAATATTGTGACAGACAGTATAAAAATAAAATTGTCAAATAGATTAGGACTGTATTAATCTAGATCAGAACTATAATATTATTATAAATTCTCACCTTCCTTTGATAGAAATATTTGTGACAAACAATATAAAAGTATATGTGCAAAAATACAGATTTGAACAATATCAATATAGATTGGAGTATTTTATAATTATCATAAATTCTCACCTCATTGGATAGAATTATCTATGGCAAACAGTACAGTAAAGTGCAAATCAAAATAAGGAATGGATATGGGTATAAGAAGAGTCTGGATAATCTGTTTTTATTTCTTGTGTTGAATTGTTATTTCATGTATGTGTCATCTGTTTTGACAGGCAGCATCATTTGGAAAGTGTTTTCTGACCGACTATAGACCAGAAGCTTTTGTCAACATGTGCCAGATGTTGCGAGTGCTAAACCAAGTCCGCCATCATTCTGTGGGAATCCCCCTGACCTACACACAGTATCCTTATTCCTAACCATGCTGTTTGTACACCACAGACAGTCTTGCAAACAACAGATTATTAGACTTCATCATTGAGTGTTGTGTCAAAAACTGTGCTGGCTCATGACTTGCTGTCTCAGATAAATACCACATTGCTGGACCAAGTGTGTGTTCTTGTCTTGTAACATTTTGCCAAGCCATTCAGATCTCATCTCTTCAACTGCCTCTTGATCTTTCCCCATTATGTTTGTCATTTGTCATCAAGTTTTCAGGTTTATCTCTCATTATAACATGCCCAGATAATTGAGACTTTTTACATATGTTCTCTGTAACCAGTCTATGCTCTCATCAGCTTCTTAAAGAACAGCCTTGTTTGTTTTTCTATCCATACATTGTATTCTTGGCATTTCCATCTGCTGCCATCTTATGTTTCTAAGCTTCTGTGCTGTGTGTCCAGACAGCACATTCTTTAATCTAGATCAGGGTTTACCTATAGTTTCTGTAGTCTGTATTTAAATAATGTTTGTGATAGACTTTGATTTCATAATATCCATTTATTTACATTTGTCCAGCATCACATACAGTCCATTGATGGTTCCACCTTTATTATATACATACAGTCTGTTAATTGTTTCCCCTATACTATCTACATGCAGTGCATTGATTGTTTCCCATATACTATCTGCATGCAGTCCATTGATTGTTTTCCCTATACTATCTACATGCAGTCCATTGATTGTTTCCCCTATACTATCTACATGCAGTCCATTGATTGTTTTCCCTATACTGTCTGCATGCAGTCTATTGATTGTTTTCCCTATACTATCTACATGCAGTCTATTGATTGTTTTCCCTATACTATCTACATGCAGTCCATTAATTGTTTTCCCTATACTATCTACATGCAGTCCATTGATTGTTTTCCCCTATACTATCTACATGCAGACCATTGATTGTTTCCCCTATACTATCTACATGCAGTCCATTGAGCAGCAGCTGTTAGGTCATTTCAAGTGATAATAAGGAATCTTGTTTTCAAGGGATAATAAACTACTTTGCATGTGTTTACTTGCAGAAGTTATCATAAATTTGACCCAAGTCCACAAGAATAAGCCGTTCTGTTTTGTAGACCATGCCATGTGGAATAAATAGTCATATCTGTTCACAGATATGTCTTGTGGGGGTCATTTCTGACACAGATATTCTTCCATGTCAAAATCCACAAATGTCCCGAGTCTTCTCTCTTTGTCTCTATTTACCTCTCTAAGCCACTCAATAAAGGGAATTTTGGGCATCTTGCTGGATATTCTCCATGATATTGTTTGTGTGTATATAGGAATAAAAAGTGGTGAATGTTTTTAAAAAAAATGTATTTTGACCGCAATAAAAGACAAGACCATTCTTGTATTAGCAGGGCCCATAAAGGAAACAAAGAATAGTAAAACTAACCCAGTTTCATTCTGAAGTTGACAAAGTTGAGTGATTGAGGAGAGTTAGTGTCTGTGTACTGTAGATGAATGCAAAATCCAACCATCCATGAAAGAGTTTAAAGAAAAGATAGAGTTGTGTTGAGTCAAGAATTAACATCACAGCACTTGGGGCATTCCCATGCATGCTCCGTCCTCATCTTCAGTAGCCAGCGCAGAGTTCCAATACTGGTGGTACCGGTCACAATCTGGTTATATGTCTGCCTTGCTTTATCTCTGAGTTTAGTGAGCCATCCAGACCCTCTGGAAACATCCAGGTGCCTCCTTCTCTCCAGGTCATAATAATCTTCTTTGTCTACTGATTCCGTTGCTTGTTACCAAAGGGCCTTGACTACATCTGCCTTGTCATGTATCAATTCACCACCTAGTGTTGCGGATCTAGCCAATCTGAACCATCTGTATAGATAGATAATCAGATCACCTTGTCGTAAATCAACTGTTGGACTTCCACCTCCGTAGCACCCCACAGGCCACTCTCTTGCAAAGAAAAGATAGAAAACTAGCTTAGCCGACCAAGGATGAAAACAGGCTTATCTCACACACTTGTACTTATTGGCTCCTGTGTAGGATTTGCAATTTCTTAGTTTGTCGTCTTAATATCTCAGGAAGGCACGCTTGTTTTTTTTCTTGTTTTAACCTTTGGTTTTTGTTTTTAAACAGAAGAAAGAAATTATATTTCTTTAACAACTTGTGCTCAGACTAGAACGCCTGTCCATGCCTGTGTTAATTGATCGTCTGGTTTTGCGGAAGTTATTTGGTCTCTCTGTTAGGATCTGTCAGTTTTTAAAAGTTCCAGATGCTGAAGGAAGAAGCAGAATCCTGGCTCACTGGGCATGCTTTAAAGTAAGAGTTATTGCATTCCTATGTCTTTTTGATAGTGTACATTATTTTAGAGATAATATTATTATTTATGTTTGGTGGAATTGGAGGTATTTTAGAGATAAAATTTATATTTGATAGAGTGTAAACTATTTCAAAGATAGCATTTATGTTTGATGGAATGTAAACTTTTTCAGAGATCACATAAATATTTGATAGAGTGTAAACTATTTCAGAGATAACTTTTATATTTGATAGAGTGTAAACAGATGGTTATTGGTTCTGAGGACCATCAACCACCCGTGAATATTACCCGTCTCTGGAATAGCTGAATGACGAAGGAAGAGTCTTCCAACTGGAGAAGTACGTGTACCAAGTGTTCAAATAGTACTCTGTGTACACATCCTCTAAGTCTTGTGCGGCTGAACGTGTCTCTTCTCTCATCCAAAAAACTTTTGTAGACTTCACAGGCGAAAACTGTTGCATTGAGCCATGTCTCGTTGTTATGCTATATCCTCCAAGCCTGGAAGTGACCCGCCATACCTTTCCAAGTCATCAGTGAGTCTGAATACTACAAGCCTGGCAGTGACCCGCCATACCTTTCCAAGTCATCAGTGAGTCTGTATACTACAAGCCTGGCAGTGACCCGCCATACCTTTCCAAGTCATCAGTGAGTCTGTATACTACAAGCCTGGCAGTGACCCGCCATACCTTTCCAAGTGATCAGTGAGTCTGTATACTACAAGCCTGGCAGTGACCCGCCATACCTTTCCAAGTCATCAGTGAGTCTGTATACTACAATTTTCTCCAGGAGCTTACCCATAGACTTCTACATGGTAATGATTCTGTAGCCACAAATCTTAGAATGGTATTTTTGGGGTTTCAGTAGCAGTAGTAGGTAGCTGTGTAGCCACTCCTTCTTGGATCATACCACTTTTGACGTTGAACTCTCCTGTCAGGTATATCCTATCACCCTCTGACATCCGCAGCAGATCAGCACATTGGATGCCGTCTGGGGCAGTGTTGGACGATTTCTTGAGTGTTGTCCGTATGGTGTCATTTGTAATACTGAAATCGTCACCTAGCTCATGCAACTCTGAAAGTGTTGACTTAACTCTCAGTCTGGCTGCCTCATCTTTCCGGTCGGTCTGTTCTAAGTGGCGTTGAATAAAGGCCTGTCCTTAATATCCATCAGATTTCTGCCATGTCTGATCTGTGCTTTGAAAGTCTGAGATACCCCGATGTCATGTGGTGCCATTCATAGCCTGATGAAGTCGCTAAAATATGGCAAGAGACCCTTCAGAGCACACCTTCTTTCAGTAATTATCCCATTTCTTATTCTTGACCTGCCTTGAGCATTGCTTGAAAGCCATCATTGTCTTATTAACTTTATCTTTCAGGTCACTCCAGAGCTCATAGACTGGGACGAGTTACGCTTCTTGACCTTCTGTCACACCGTGTCAGCCTGTCTCTTTTCCAACCATGCCCTTTCAATCTCTTCATCCCACCACGGTGGCTGAGTCAATTTTTTCCCTCTGTCTTTGGGAGGTATTTAATTTGTAATATCTAACCTTGTTGATGGCATCCTGACCTGTGCTGTTATAAGTAAAGTAAGTAAAGTAAAGTAAAGATCCCTTTTCACGCCTTTCGGCGCATCGGGCATATGGGCAGAGCGTCCTATATTTTTACAGACCATCAGCACTCTGTGGGTAATGTGGTCAGCATTACGCCGGCTGTCTTTACTTTCCCAGGACAGCCCATCCTGGTACCTATTTTAGGCTGGGTCGACCTGCGACGTCCCATACCACGATAAAAATCCACGCAGCCTGCAGTGGGTTTCGATCGGGGTATGCTGGCTTACGAGTCGGACTCGCAACGCCTTAGCCACGGATGCCTGTGCTGTTGTAGTAGAAAGTTTTTTTCTGTTTCTCTGACTGCTTTTTCTGCTCTTTTCAACCAAGACAACACAAGACAGATGGTCGCTATCATGGCACCCCGAAGTACTTCATCTACAAACGGAGGTGATCGTAGGTGACACTAAAACCAAGTCAATCACACTGTGAAAGTCACCTGGTTGAGTGGTTAATCTAGTGACTTATCCGTCCTTCAAACACACCAGTTCCGCAGATACCAGGACCTCCTCCAGATCTTCCCCCATTTATTGGTGATGACATTACCCCATTGGTTGTCTCTGGCGTTAAAGTCCCCGCAATAAATTATATTTTCTTTCCCAGGCGCAAAAAAACGCTGCCACTGCCACACGTCAACCTTTCTGTTACAGGCGTAAACTTTGACAATCTTGAACTGGGTGGGGACCAGTACTCTTACTGCTTGCACTTGCAGGATGTCACTGTTCCATTCACACTTGTCAACTTCCGACACCACTAAGCTGTCACGTACCAAAACGACCTGTCTGAGATGCCGCCAATTGTAGAAGCACTGAAACCCCACAGCTCTGACTACCTAGACATTTTTTCTGCAAGGCTACGATACTGGCGTAAAGATTTTTCAAAAGTTTGATTGCCTTCGGTTAAATGAGGAACAATTCCAGTACAGTACACGAAAGTATTTTAGACTCAGCCTGTCACATTGTCAACGTTTCAGGCTGGCAGCCGCTCACTTGCCAGTTTTTGTCCTTTTCATCCGTCGTCTGATTTCCACAGATGAAATTTTACCGACAGGGAATAAGACACTTGTGCACGAACTCCGTAGCATGGTGCATAATCCCGTTACACTCTGGATCTTACATTAAACACATATCTGAGTGGGAAAACACCCTTCGTCCTAATGGAGGAAAAAGGTGTCCCGCCATTCATGACATGCTTGTTGGGGGAGGTAAGAGGAAGCTGGTCTGTCACCCACCCTCAATGGAGCTCTGGAACCCACTCTGGAGTATTACTTTTTAATTTCATTCATAAAAACATTATTTGTGGCAACATTTGCACCATAATATAAACTTCAACAAACCTCCTTAAAAATCAGTAAAACTAATGTTATTAATGAGAATTGCTGACAGAAATAGATATATTGTCTGAAAATAATGTTGATTTTATGTCAATGAGTTTATGTTTACTTGCTTATGTTTTATTTTACTCTGTTGCCTGTTAGTTCTTTGACTTTCCATAGTCTTAAATACTAGTTTGTGTTTTTGTTGTCATAGTTTTTTTTTTTCCTTGCTGAAACCTGTTACTATTAAATGATGATAGTTTGTTCTGTATGTAGGTGACTTAGTTGACACCATGTGAAATGATGTCCAGGCATTCTACATCCTCAGGTTCAACAGAAGCATGAGGATGAAGAAAAACTTGCCAGAGCGATATCACAAAAGTTGGTGGATGTGCCGGGAGTGTCCTTCTCTGAAATAGCTAGCCAGGCTTTGGAGCAAGGTCGCAAACAGTTGGCTGTGCGGGTAGGGACTGTTCACTTAATAAATGTGTTCACATTGCTAATGGTTTCCAGTAGGTTGGCTGCTCAGTAATGACATACTCTGAATACTGCAATATAAAAGTAACCTTTCAGATGGAGTGTATTTGCTTTGAATGATTTGATTTGATTTGATTTGATTCAAGAACCGACATCACAGCACTCGGGGCATTCCCATAAGCGCTCCGTCCCCATCTTCAGCAGCCAGCGAAGAGTTCCGATACTAATGGTGCCAGTAGCTTTCTGATCAAACATCCGTCTTGCCTTTCCTCTGAGCCTTGAGCTTCTGCCAGAACCTCTTGTCACCCCCAACTGCATCAATCTCACCAGACTGTGGTGATCCATCTGCTCCTCCGCATTGTACACGCTCTCCCACAAGGCACTAACCACGTCTGCCCTATCTGCTTTGAATATAATGGCCTACAGGATACAAAAAATGTGTGATTTGCAACGTTGTCTTACTGTAAGAGTTTATGACATAATTTAAGGAGGTTGCTATATTTTTCATTTATTGTGCATTGCACTAGATTTAATTGCTTTTCATGACTGTCTATAAATTAAAATGCATTTCTGTTTGCTTTCTGTATACTGACCAGTTACTGGACTACGAAGTGCGGGCATCAGAACAGGTTCCACTGTTGCTGAAGATGGGACAAGACCAAGCTGCTCTCACCAAAGCTATAGACAGTGGGGATACTGATCTTGGTTAGTGGCTGTTAATGTTCTGCTGTTTCAAGTTAGGAGTTCACTGTTGTTTGTTTGTACATACACAGATGTGGACATAATTGTGTGGATGTGTCAGACACAGATGTGGACATGAATGTGTGGATGTGTCAGACACAGATGTGGACATGAATGTGTGGATGTGTCAGACATGGATGTGGACATGAATGTGTGGATGTGTCAGACACAGATGTGGACATGAATGTGTGGATGTGTCAGACACAGATGTGGACATGAATGTGTGGATGTGTCAGACACAGATGTGGACATGAATGTGTGGATGTGTCAGGCACAGATGTGGACATGAATGTGTGGATGTGTCAGACATGGATGTGGACATGATTGTGTGGATGTGTCAGACACAGATGTGGACATGAATGTGTGGATGTGTCAGACACAGATGTGGACATGATTGTGTGGATGTGTCAGACACAGATGTGGACATGAATTTGTGGATGTGTCAGACACAGATGTGGACATGAATGTGTGGATGTGTCAGACATGGATGTGGACATGAATGTGTGGATGTGTGTGTGACATGATTGTGTGGATGTGTCAGACACAGATGTGGACATGAATGTGTGGATGTGTCAGACACAGATGTGGACATGAATGTGTGGATGTGTCAGACACAGATGTGGACATGAATGTGTGGATGTGTCAGACACAGATGTGGACATGAATGTGTGGATGTGTCAGACACAGATGTGGACATGAATGTGTGGATGTGTCAGACACAGATGTGGACATGAATGTGTGGATGTGTCAGACACAGATGTGGACATGAATGTGTGGATGTGTCAGACACAGATGTGGACATGAATGTGTGGATGTGTCAGACACAGATGTGGACATGAATGTGTGGATGTGTCAGACACAGATGTGGACATGAATGTGTGGATGTGTCAGACACAGATGTGGACATGAATGTGTGGATGTGTCAGACACAGATGTGGACATGAATGTGTGGATGTGTCAGACACAGATGTGGACATGAATGTGTGGATGTGTCAGACACAGATGTGGACATGAATGTGTGGATGTGTCAGACACAGATGTGGACATGAATGTGTGGATGTGTCAGACACAGATGTGGACATGAATGTGTGGATGTGTCAGACACAGATGTGGACATGAATGTGTGGATGTGTCAGACACAGATGTGGACATGAATGTGTGGATGTGTCAGACATGGATGTGGACATGAATGTGTGGATGTGTCAGACATGGATGTGGACATGATTGTGTGGATGTGTCAGACACAGATGTGTACATGAATGTGTGGATGTGTCAGACAGATGTGGACATGAATGTGTGGATGTGTCAGACACAGATGTGGACATGAATGTGTGGATGTGTCAGACACAGATGTGGACATGAATGTGTGGATGTGTCAGACACAGATGTGGACATGAATGTGTGGATGTGTCAGACATGGATGTGGACATGATTGTGTGGATGTGTCAGACACGGATGTGGACATGATTGTGTGGATGTGTCAGACACAGATGTGGACATGAATGTGTGGATGTGTCAGACATGGATGTGGACATGAATGTGTGGATGTGTCAGACATGGATGTGGACATGAATGTGTGGATGTGTCAGACATGGATGGATGTGGACATGATTGTGTGGATGTGTCAGACACAGATGTGGACATGATTGTGTGGATGTGTCAGACACAGATGTGGACATGAATGTGTGGTTGTGTCATACACAGATGTGGACATGAATGTGTGAATGTGTCAGACACAGATAGCATCAGATGTTGTCAGGAGATGATTATGGTTTGTCCATCATAGGTCAAGAGGAAATTTTGGCATCTGTCAGTTCTGGTTGAGGTCTGAAATGCCAACCAAATGTGAGACAGCATTCTCTCCCTAACCTTGCTCATGATGATAACAAACCTCAACAATTGTGAAACGTATGACAATTTTGATCCTTTCATAATTACTGGAAAATATGACTCCAGTACTCAGATATACAAATAATGAAGTACTCCTTTAAAACAATGTGAAAGGTTAATCTTCTCTATAATACTTCAAGTGAAAATCAATTTCATGTTCTAAACACATAAAATATTATTTCCAGTATTCTGGATAGAGATATTTTCCATCTTTCAGTTTTTTAAATATTAATTTTATATGTTAACATTATTCCTCTGTTTCAATAATCTGTTATTTTCTGTATGTGTATGTATACGTGTATATATATATATATATACATATGTGTAATTGCAGTATATACAGTCTTACTTCATCTGCGAGATAAAAAGTCCAGTGCAGGAGATTTCTTTATGATGATCAGAACAATGCCTATAGCTTGCTCACTTTACATTCAGGTTGGTTGACATTTATGTGTTGACAGATATCTCTTATAGTCTACATTCTGTTTGCACCTTTTTCTTATGTATCTGTTCTCAGACTTTGTCAGTGACCGCCAAACACAAGCTTATGCTAGTAGGAATTGGTGAGATTGAGTTGTTTTAAATATGAGTTCTAAAACTGTTTGGCCTGCCTACTGATTGTCCAGGACTCACAGCCATATGTTAAAACTCGATGTGTGTAGCAAGCACATAATGAAGCATAATATGTTAGGCTTCCATCTTTCCACCAGAAATTCAAGATCAGCCACATATTTACCATGGTAGCTTAAAATCTATTATGTGGTCATTATGTTTACATAAAACAGAAGAGTTAAGAACAAACCTAAAACAACAACAAAAAAAAACTAAAGAGATTGGCAAAGATCCATATCAAAGAAACTCTAACAAAGCTATCCCATCTCAAGCAAATGCATAGTTCCGCATACTATTTCTGGATGAATTGAGAGTTTTTATGATTAAGATTCTGCATAGAAATTGTGAACAAAGTGAAAACCAAGAAAACCACAGGCCTCATAAAGGCACTAGGCTTTAGGAAGATGGAAACCTCTGCACTAGATAACCCCAATAATTATTTTGCACTAGATAACCTCAAAATGTATGTAAGAAATTTATCCTAGTATACACTCACCAAAGTCCAGAAAGAGGCCCTCATGTATGGACTGAAATTCAGACCGAAGAATGTCAGCCAGATTGAGTCAAAAGCCCAGTTTTTAATGCTGTTAGACCAGATCTCAATGTTACCACCGTCTACTGAGTTGATCAGGTGGTTCAGGGTTAAACTGGTGGATTCAGAGCAACGGTACCACATAATGCTGTTTAAGCAGACTTGTCCATCAACCAAAGAACACATTATGAATTTAAGGCATTATGAGTTGAGAACCGACATCATAGCACAGGAGACATTTCCATACGCATTCTGTCCCCATCTTCAGCAGCAAGAGCAGAGTTCAAACTACAGTGGTGACAATAACAGTCTGATTGTTTGTCCATCTCGCCCCTTGTTTGTCCATCTCGCTCCTTGTTTGTCCATCTCACCCCTTGTTTGTCTGTTTCACCCCTTGTTTGTCCATTTCACCCCTTGTCTATCTGTTTTGTCTTGCTCCTTGCTTGTCCATCTTGCCCCTTGTTTGTCCATCTTGCCCCTTGTTTGTCTGTCTCACCCCTTGTCTGTCTGTCTTGCTCCTTGCTTGTCCATCTTGCCCCATGTTTGTCCGTCTTGCCCCTTATTTGTCCATCTCGCCCATGTTTGTCCATCTCGCCCCTTGTTTGTCCATCTCACAACTTGTTTGTCTGTCTCACTCATTGTTTGTCCATCTCTCGTCTCTTGTTTGTCCATCTCACCCCTCGTTTGTCCGTCTCACCCCATGTTTGTCCATCTTGCCCCTTGTTTGTCCATCTTGCCCCTTGTTTTTTTTCCATCTCACCACTTATTTGTCCATCTTGCCCCTTGTTTGTCCATCTCGCCCCTTGTTTGTCCATCTTGCCCCTTGTTTGTGCATCTCACAACTTGTCTGTCCATCTCGCCCCCTCCCTGAGTGTTAAAGACAGTAAAGGCTAATGAAAACCTACCTGATATCTCTGAAGGCAGACAAAGGAAGTGTATTGTTGAATGAACAAATCAGACAACCAAGCCAAGCATTACAGCATGGATGATATCTGAATGGACCAGTACAGATTCCAACTAGAGACCACAGGAGTGCTGAAAAGGCTGCATGCCAGCAGTAAGCTTCTCATGAGAACATCTTCTATAGCATATTTGATTGTGGTGTACACAAGTTTTAGTCCTTACTGGTGCAATGGGGTTTGTGCGCTGTACTGAGGTTCTCCTTTAGTGATCTGCGGAAGAGACATGAACATATATGGAGATAACAAAAATGATACTTTTTAAACTGAACTAATCAAAATTTAACAAACAAAAACCATGGAGGATGACTCCGTTGCCTACTTGTTGACTGCTGTGTTTTTTGATAGTGTACATTATCTACTTTTGATGGTAATCTACAGATAGAATCTTGTTTATGAAATATTACTGCATAAGTAAATATTCACAAGCTGTTGACAAGAAATATTTACAGTTCATAACGGTTTATATGTTTCATATTTAGTATTGCAGACAACAAAACATCAAGCTGGTTGAGGACCTGTACTATCAAGAGGATAACTCCCTGGAAGAGGGATACTGCAAAGTGATTCGCAGCTATACTCTAGATGTAAGTGTAACTGCAGTGACATACATTTTGTTTTGATTAAGCATTCTTAGACTTGTCACGGCAATGTCAGGTGAAATGAGGCTGTAAATAGGGCTAATGTCAGGGTATGACTGACTGAATTGGGGAAGTCCCTGACTGCATGGTTTTCACAGGGAGATGGTGAAAAGAGAGAATTGAGTGAGTCACGTGTGAATGTGAGATCTTGGGGATTGAGAATGAGGCTGTAAATAGGGCTAATGTCAGGGTATGACTGACTGAATTGGGGAAGTCCCTGATAGCAAGGTTTTTACAGGGAGATGGTGAAAAGAGAGAATTGAGTGAGTCACGTGTGAATGTGAGATCTGGGCGATTGAGAATGAGGCTGTAAATAGGGCTAATGTCAGGGTATGACTGACTGAATTGGGGAAGTCCCTGATTGCATGGTTTTTACAGGGAGATGGTGAAAAGAGAGAATTGAGTGAGTCACGTGTGAATGTGAGATCTGGGCGATTGAGAATGACGTGGTCATTTGGTGAGTAGGCCCCTAGATTGAAAGGACGTGAAGTTGAATCCAGAATGACAAGTGTAAACGTGAATCCGAATGAGAATCAAGGGAATGTTAGTCCTGAACGACAAGGAATGGAGCGGTGTTGAATTATTGTTTAGGCCAGCAGTTGTGCTCCACGGCCTATTGGTTATGCCAGTGTCCATTGTCTGAAGCGTGGCTGGAAACTTAGAGCGTGAGCAAGGCGAGATTGTCCAAATGGTGTTAGTGATTAGTTCTACTGTTGATTCTTGTCACTTGTGTTGCATTGACAATAAACCTGTGAAGTGCGTCAACTGTCGTCGACTGTCATTTAAAGTTGTGTGGCAGTTGGAGAGAAGAACAGTCTGGCTGGAATGTACTGTGACATAACATGTAGACAACAGAGTCAGTGTTGAATCTGCACAAGAGACATTAAGTGCTGAGGAGACACATTACATCAGGTATATGGCTGAACACAGCCAGTATCACACCTGATCATTAGGTTCCAGGACTGAAATGATTTGAGTAAGATGGTAGTTCTACCAGTTAAAAATATTTCCCTTTCTAATGGTTTACTCTTATTCCAGCATCTTGCCAATAATGAGAAAGATATAAAACCAATTGAAAAGTATATTAGCAAGCTTCACAATATAACAAATACAAATAAAATGTGAACGTTACGGCTATGAAGCCTTCATCAGCACATACAAATCTAACAATACTACACAAATACACAAAAACACTTAGCTGGTATCTCAAAGCAGCCGGGTCGATGGTTTCTCAGCAGACTGCTTACACGTGTCGGCTGGGTTAATAAATAACCCCTGTGTGGAGTATCAGGGGCTATAACTAGCTGGTTAGAGATAAAACTGTGAGGGCAGCTCAGTCCCCTAAGAGTTTAAAAAAAACTGTGTTGGCAGTTCAGTCTGCAGGGTGTTAAAGTCCCCAGAGTGTAAATAGATTCTCAAGAGACTTGCGGACTCTGTCGCTGGAGTGGCTTGCCAATAATGGATGCATCTCTGGTAGGCATTTTCTGTAATAGCCCTCAGTTGTCTCACCTCTTCATCTTCGAAACAATGGCTGGCCCATCGTCTTGTGGTTTACAACTAGGCTGTGATATCTGCACATTTTGGCCCAACACTTCTGATTTCAGAAGCCCTTAAATTAATAATCTTTTCTGACATGCTTGTTCAGAGACAGGGGGTCTATTCTGTTTTCCCCATACAATGGAGCCCCAGAATCCACACAGAGAATACCTCATATGTTGAGATTTTGTCCTGTATAATTTAGTAGGGATAAACAGAAGACAAATATTCACCTGCAATACAAGACAGTATATAAAATTTACCTGTGCTCATGATAAGGGAATCATAAGTATTTGCTTGTGTCCCCTGACTGTAGTCATTGATTTGTTTTCCCTGTGCAGAATTTTGAAGAGCCTTGCTTGTGTGCCCTGACTGTAGTCATTGATTTGTTTTCCCTGTGCAGAATTTTGAAGAGCCTTGCTTGTGTCCCCTGACTGTAGTCATTGATTTGTTTTCCCTGTGCAGAATTTTGAAGAGCCTTGTTTGTGTCCCCTGTCTGTAGTCATTGATTTGTTTTCCCTGTGCAGAATTTTGAAGAGCCTTGCTTGTGTCCCCTGTCTGTAGTCATTGATTTGTTTTCCCTGTGCAGAATTTTGAAGAGCCTTGCTTGTGTCCCCTGTCTGTAGTCATTGATTTGTTTTCCCTGTGCAGAATTTTGAAGAGCCTTGTTTGTGTCCCCTGTCTGTAGTCATTGATTTGTTTTCCCTGTGCAGAATTTTGAAGAGCCTTGCTTGTGTCCCCTGACTGTAGTCATTGATTTGTTTTGCCTGTGCAGAATTTTGAAGAGCCTTGCTTGTGTCCCCTGACTGTAGTCATTGATTTGTTTTGCCTGTGCAGAATTTTGAAGAGCGAGCCAAGTTGTTGGAAGATGCCGTGAACTGTTTTCACAGATGTAAGCATGAGTTTGCTGCAAAAGTAAGTTGTTTTTTTCCCCCCTTTCCTTTCTGTACTTAGCAAAGATACTTACAATTGTTCAAGTTATTAGTCTCAGTTCTCAGTTTCTATTAGAATATACCAGCTCTGCAGAGGTCCATAGTCTGAAACAGTGATTGAGAACATCATTCAGTAATGCCTTATGTGCACTATTTTCATTTCTAAATGTGTTCCTTATTTGATAGAAGATGCAAACCTGTTTGCAGGTCTAGCAGTCTGTATATTACCACAATAAGAGACTGCCAATGCAGCCTCGATTTGATTCTTGATCTGACAACAGAAACATCATGTAGCAAAAAAGAAGAAGAAAATTGTATTTAAAAAACATTATAACTAGAACCTTAAATTAAATGTCATTTATGTGAGGTGAAGTTTGTATTTGAATGGAGACGAGTAGTCACTCAGTAAACTGTGTTTTCAACTGATGTTCTAGGCTTCATTGTTTGAAACACTGGGTGTGCATGTATTGATGTCGGAGATGACTGAGAGAATTTATTTTGTTTCAATTCTTAATTTTCAAGACAGATCCATGAAAAATGATGATATTTAATCAGTCAGCAGCATCACTGAATTTCATATTCTTCTCCTTCAAGTGCTTTATTGGATCAGACATCAGATAATTACTCCCTAACCCTCTCTGTTGTCTGATATAATAAAGTTGGTGTTGCCTCTTTTGTTATCCAGTTGTTTAAGTTTCTGTCTTTCTCTTCTTCTCTTGTCCTCTATTTCACTTCTCCTGCTGACATCCCCTAATGTGTAATTGATCATTTCCTTATTCCCCATGTAGGTTCCAGGGCCCTGATGTATGGAAAACAAGAATAGACCCACTGCCTCCCCAGCAAGCATGTTGTAGGAGTCGACTACCTGGGGGCTTCATTTGAAGTCAGAGTATATCTGCCTGAGAGGCACAGAACCAACAGTGAAGTCAGAGCATATCTGCCTGAGAGGCACAGAACCAACAGTGAAGTCAGAGTATATCTGCCTAAAAGGCACAGAACCAACAGTCTGCATACATATAAGCTACATCTGTTGAAGGGATGTGCACACAAAACTCAGGTTCTGGAACAAGATTGAAGTCTGGAGGTGGATGAATGTCTAGAACTTTCTACCAGAGTTTACATGGGTGAATGCCAAGAAGGAGAAGAGCTCTCTAGTTTTGATGAATAATTGTGTAACATCTGCATCATAGAGACAACAGGATTATCATGAAATGTTAACAAATGTGAATGCATGTGAGAGAGATGACAGCACATATCTGGGCTACTCTGTGACATCTGATGGAAGGACTGACACAGAGATAAAGACAAGCTGTTGGCTAGAATGAGAATACTTAGTACATAAATATTGCTATGAGCAAACACTTCCCTTACTGTAATGTTGTGTGATCTCTTCTTCTGTATGGGTGCAAATGTTGGGCAATGGCAATTGAAATAGCGAAGAAACTGGAGGCAGTGGTTAATAAAACAGTGAAGAAACTGGAAGCAGAGGGTGGTGAAGAAACTGAAGGTAATGGCTAGTGAAGTGGTGAAGAACTGGAAGCAATGGATAGTGAAGTGGTGAAGAAACTGGAGGTAATGGCTAGTGAAGTGGTGAAGAAACTGGAGGCAATGGCTAGTGAAGTGGTGAAGAAACTGGAGGTAATGGCTAGTGAAGTAGTGAAGAAACTGGAGGTAATGGCTGGTGAAGTATTGAAGAAACTGGAGGTAATCGCTGGTGAAGTGGTGAAGAAACTGGAGGTAATGGCTAGTGAAGTGGTGAAGAAACTGGAGGTAATGGCTAGTGAAGTGGTGAAGAAACTGCAAGCAATGGATAATGAAGTGGTGAAGAAACTGGAGGTAATGGCTGGTGAAGTTGTGAAGAAACTGGAGGTAATGGCTGGTGAAGTGGTGAAGAACTGGAAGCAATGGATAGTGAAGTGGTGAAGAAACTGGAGACAATGGCTAGTGAAGTGGTGAAGAAACTGAAAGCAATGGCTAGTGAAGTGTTGAAGAAACTGGAGGTAATGGCTAGTGAAGTGGTGAAGAAACTGGAGGTTATGGCTGGTAAAGTGGTGAAGAACTGGAAGCAATGGGTAGTGAAGTAGTGAAGAAACTGGAGACAATGGCTAGTGAAGTGGTGAAGAAACTGGAGGCAATGGCTAGTGAAGTGGTGAAGAAACTGGAGGTAATGGCTAGTGAAGTGGTGAAGAAACTGGAGGTAATGGCTGGTGAAGTGGTGAAGAAACTGGAGGTAATCACTGGTGAAGTGGTGAAGAAACTGGAGGTAATGGCTAGTGAAGTGGTGAAGAAACTGGAGGTAATGGCTAGTGAAGTGGTGAAGAAACTGCAAGCAATGGATAATGAAGTGGTGAAGAAACTGGAGGTAATGGCTAGTGAAGTTGTGAAGAAACTGGAGGTAACGGCTGGTGAAGTGGTGAAGAAACTGGAGGTAATGGCTGGTGAAGTGGTGAAGAAACTGGAGGTAATGAATGGTGAAGTGGTGAAGAAACTGAAAGCAATAGCTGGTGAAGAAACTGAAAGCAATAGCTGGTGAAGAGGTGAAGAAACTGAAAGCAATAGCTGGTGAAGTGGTGAAGAAACTGAAAGCAGTGGATAATGAAGTTATAAAGAAACTGGAGGTAATGGCTGGTGAAGTGGTGAAGAAACTGGAGGTAATGGATGGTGAAGTGGTGAAGAAACTGGAGGTAATGGATGGTGAAGTGGTGAAGAAACTGGAGGTAATGGATGGTGAAGTGGTGAAGAAACTGAAAGCTGTGGCTGGTAAAGTGGTGATAAAACTGTAGGTCATGGCTGGTGAAATGATGAAGAAACTGGAGGTAATGGATGGTGAAGTGGTGAAGAAACTGGAGGTAATGGATGGTGAAGTGGTGAAGAACCTGAAAGCAATAGCTGGTGAAGTGGTGAAGAAACTGAAAGCAATGGCTGGTGAAGTGGTGAAGAAACTGGAGGTAATGGCTGGTAAGATGGTAAAGAAACTGGAAGCAATGGCTAATAAAGTGGTGAAGAAACTGGAAGCAGTGGCTGGTAAAGTGGTGATGAAACTATAGGTCATGGCTGGTGAAATGATGAAGAAACTGGAGGTAATGGGTGGTGAAGTGGTGAAGAAACTGGAGGTAATGGGTGATGAAGAAACTGGAGGTAATGGGTAGTGAAGTGGTGAAGAAACTGGAGGTAATGGGTCGTGAAGAAACTGGAGGTAATGGGTGATGAAGAAACTGGAGGTAATGGGTCGTGAAGAAACTGGAGGTAATGGGTGATGAAGAAACTGGAGGCAATGGCTAGTGAAGTGGTGAAGAAACTGGAGGTAATGGGTGATGAAGAAACTGGAGGTAATGGGTGATGAAGAAACTGGAGGTAATGGGTGATGAAGAAACTGGAGGTAATGGGTGATGAAGAAACTGGAGGTAATGGGTCGTGAAGAAACTGGAGGTAATGGGTCGTGAAGAAACTGGAGGTAATGGGTGATGAAGAAACTGGAGACAATGGCTAGTGAAGTGGTGAAGAAACTGGAGGTAATGGGTCGTGAAGAAACTGGAGGTAATGGGTGATGAAGAAACTGGAGGTAATGGGTGATGAAGAAACTGGAGGTAATGGGTCGTGAAGAAACTGGAGGTAATGGGTGATGAAGAAACTGGAGGTAATGGGTGATGAAGAAACTGGAGGTAATGGGTGATGAAGAAACTGGAGGTAAGGGGTCGTGAAGAAACTGGAGGTAATGGGTGATGAAGAAACTGGAGGCAATGGCTAGTGAAGTGGTGAAAAAACTGGAAGCAATGGCTAATGAAGTGGTGAAGAAACTGGAGGCAACGGCTAGAAAAGTGGTGAAGAAACTGGAGTTAATGGCTGGTGAAGTGGTGAAGAAACCGGAGGCGCTGGTGAAGTGGTGAAGAAACTGGAGGCATTGGAGTGTTTTATAGAATAACATTGACAAGATCATGGAAAGAGATGAAATGAAATATGGTGATATTGAATGCTGCAGCTGTTAACAACGTATCAGAATGAAACATTAGTGAGGGGCATATTTAACTGACCTTTCATCAAATCATCATACATCAACACCATCATGTGCCCACTCTGTGTCAGCACAGAGCACCACCATTATGAGCACTCACTCTTTGTCATCATACATCAGCATTATCATGTGCACCCACTCTTTATCATCATACATCAACATTATCATGTGCACCCACTCTTTATCATCATACATAAACATTATCATGTGCACCCATTATGCATCATCATACATCAACATCATCATGTGCGCCCACTGTGTTTCATCATACATCAACATCATGTGTTGCCGCTATGTTTCATCATTCAGCAAACAGAAGAGCAAGTGAAGCTCCTGAGACACCAGAGAAGGCTTGAAGATGACACTGGACGCTCATATGCTGACATGTCCTTGCAAAAAACTATGCGTACACTCATTATAGAAGGCAATCATCAGATGGTAGAGAAGCTTCGCAAGGAGTTCAAAGTTCCAGAGAGAAGGTTGGTAATACACTGTATGTTTTATGTTTGAAAATATTAGACTTTCATTCATCATGTGTACTGTTTAATTAGTTTCTTTTTGGCACAAATTTCTTTTCGTTTTATTTATGAAATAGGATGCAGAAAGCTGTAACTGTGAAGAACAGTCACTGAATGATTTAGCGGTTATGTATAGGGAGACACAGTGGTCAGAATTATCACATGGAACTTGTTTCCATGAAGTTTAAAGTTTCCAAAACACTTTGTTTACATAGTGTCCAGAATTTAAAAGTTTGCGCGCAATTGAGGAGAGGTGGTAATGAAATTATCTTGTGGAAACTAGAATTGTTTGTTTGAAATAACAATATACAGAGTCTGTATTTGATGCTTTCTTTTGAAGTATCTGCTTTTTTTGCCACTAAGCATCACACTTTAACAGATGACTGGGAGCTGTGCTATGTATGGCTCATTAAGGTGCTTGATGTGCTGTGATGTTTTGGAGTCTCAAGTTGCCATTTACCCCTTCAGTCCATCTTCCTCTTTGTGTTTTCATTTTCAGGTTGTATGCTTTTGCTGCCAGGTCTTTAGACTCATTCTTGTTTGATGGCCAAATCCTTTTAATCTTGGTTTCTCAATTAATTCATCAGTAGATAAAATGGCAGTGACTCTTGTAATCTTTTGATTTCTCATACAGTTTGGTTTATTTCTGTTTACAGCCTTTCTTTAACATCTCATTTCATAGGTGGTCAGTTTTCTGTTCTATTATTTGATTGGTGCCCTAGTCTCATGCTAGTAACCTGAAGTTGGTATCAAACTTGCCATTATAATTTGTGTTTTTGTCTCTGTTGGGATAGCCAGGTGTTTCAAGACTGAAGTCAGTTGATATGCAGCATTGTTAGCTTGTTTTAATCTTGTTGACTTGGGGACCAGTTGCATCCACCTTCATCATGGTGATGATTTATGGTCAGTTGGTTACAAATTCTCAGGGAATGGATTTTCAACTTATCTCTTATGGATTTTCAGTGGAGTCCATAGAGGAGCTTATACCTGTTGTAGTGAGGCACTTGCTGAGATCTTTTATCTGATAAAAGTATTATCTCCAAGGGGATAGTGTTGCAGAGTTCCCCATTCCCAGCGAGCAGAATGGTGTGTAGCACTGGTACAGACACTACATCAGTGGGGAGGTATATGACAATGTGGTCAGGTCATGATTGAGCATATTACAAATGAACTGACTGCATACAGGCTCAGGTTGATCGTATTCTCTCCAGAGGTTTTGCTGTGTCATTTTTCAACAGATTCAAACTCCAGAGGGACATTGAGCTGCCAAACCACCCATTGGTGCTTCAGACTTCTTCTTTAGATGCTTGTGTCACGTGTGACATTGTTTATGTTTGCAACAATGCTCATCACAGCACTGTTAGAACAGCCATTACAAAAGCCATTCAGTAGATGACTGAGATGATTGTTATTGTGTTCAAGGTACTGGATCATGCGAATCTTTGCACTGGCTGAAGCTGGGGACTGGGCAGAACTGGACAAGTTTTCTAAAGTGAAGAAAGCCCCAGTTGGTATGGAGGTAAGAGTTCCTCTGAAATTGTTCCGCTAAAATTAACCCAACAGCACATGCATAGCTTTTTTTTTTCTAAATGTATGTGGCCCTATTTTTATTAATTTTTTTTCATTTCTAAAGTGCAACTAATATGATTTTTTTTTAATGTTTTTATTTTTTATTTTCTCATCTTTCTTGAGAAGAATTTTTAGCCAAACGAGTACCATTTCTGCACTAACGCTTGGTTGCTATGAATCTCCAGTGTTTTATTTCATATATGGTAGCTGCGCCCACATTCTTTTCTTGTGTAATTTGTTATAATAATGTTGTGCCTTTTATCGCAGGCAAAATGTGGAATGATGTCTAATATCTTCTGTAATCTCTCATTTTAATCTCACTTTTTCTAATGGGATGGAGGGGGTGTGCATGCATATATGTATGTATGTATGTATGTATGTATGTATGTATGTATGTATGGATGGATGGATGGATGGATGGATGGATGGATGGATGGATGGATGGATGGATGGATGGATGCATGCATGCATGTATGTATGTATGCATGTATGTGTGCTTGCATGAGAGAGACATTATTAGGGTATTTCGTAGCACGGTAGCTAGCTCCCTTTTTGCCTGCTGAGTGGTCCCATTTTCAGAACCCATGTGAGGCAGGGATGTTCTCATTGATGTGGAATCCTAGCTAGATCAGTGCTGTCAGAAACGCGCCTGGCTGGCTTACTACTGACCCCAAGAGTCAGTAGGCAAGAAGTGTTTTGGTCTGGAAATATGGAGCTAGTACCAGTTGCCTTGTGCCATTAATTATTTTACTTTGTATATTTATATAATACTTATATGCTGCTGGATAACTATATATGTTGTAGTATATATTGTATGTGTGGGCCTTCTTGTACATATTTTTTGTCATCATCATGTGCCATACCGAGAAGCTTAAGCTGTCATGGTTTGTCATCTCATGCAACCACTGTTGTCTCAATCAGGTTAGATTGCTTGCCAAGCTGTATAAATGTGTGTGTGTATGGTGTGTGTGGTGTGCTGTGTGTGTGTGTATGGTGTGTGTGGTGTGTGTGTGTGTGCCTGCATGTGTGCATGCATGCATATGTGTGCAAGTGCATAAATACATGCTTGAATGTGTATGTGTATGTCACAGAAGTATGCCAGAATGGCTGCCAGAATGAGAAACTTTGTTGCTATGATCAGACAGAACTTGAGCTGGAAACTGCTGAGACTGGAATAATTTGAGCTGTGCTGAAGAAAACAGCAGTTATCCCAGCTGTATGTTACACTAGCTATTTGGAGTCTCTTGATGAGAGGTGTTTGCAAGAGTTAAGTTATGACACTTTAATCTCCTGACAAAGCATTCTCATCAAAGTCTGAAAATCTTCACACTTCTCTGGCCCATAGACATTCATTGATGGCTGCATGAAACATCACAACCGGGTGGAAGCCGTGAAGTATCTCGGCAGAGTGACACCAGAACACAAAGTTCGATGTCTGGTCAAAGTTGGGTAAGTTCCTGTTGCTGAACATTGCCTTTCTCATTTTGTCAAGTCTTAATTATTTGAGCAGACATTTGCTGTAATCTGTCCTGATGTTTTATTATAGTCAAGTTTTGAACTGATCACTGTCAGTTTACTTATAACTTGTTAATTGCTTTACAGTTAACACAGTACCATGAATAATGCCATGTGGTTCTCAATTAAACACAGCTGCTTTCTTGAAAGTAGTGTTGGGTTATGTGAAGTAGTTTTAAATCAGATGTGTAGTTAAAAACAAATCACTAAAACATGGAATAAGAGTTACTGAAAGAAATAATAAAGAGACAGTTGAAATATTTCGGCCACATTAAAAGATATAACAAACAAAAAAAAACAAAAAACAAAAATCGAATTTGGTACTTTGGAAGTATTAAGAATATTCACAGCGCCTTAGCTACTGATGCTGACTAAACAAAGACCGATTAAATGTTTCACTAGGCAAAGACCTGTCACAACCGTGTTTACTGTCTCATTGCCGTTGGTTTGCTTATGTCTAACTCCTCCAGTCTCAGACAGTGGTGATCTCAAAATAGTGGTCATCTAGATAAGAAGTTAAAAGGAACCCTTTGACACCAGCAGCACGTGATTATAGAAATTCTTTCTAGACCAGTTGGCTTATGATAGGTCAACAGCCACCATTACCTGGTACCCATTTGAGCCTGGATTAGCCTGGGAGCCAAGGGCGGTTTTGAAAAACAAAACAAATTAGACTAGCGACTTCGGTGTTCGGCAATTGGCGGTCTTTTCGGCAATTTCCGTTACCCGGAAACTGTTCGCAACTTGTTTCGGGAAATCTCGGCTGGTTTCCGGATGGGTCCAAATCTCTCATGAAATTTTGCCATTGGTGGGAATTTGGACCAGCTATAAATAGCTGAAAACAGCAGGAGGGAACCCCATTAACAGCGCATGTCTACGACAGCCGGACGTCCTCTGTTTTTCTGTTAGTCATCAGTTTGATTGAAAATAGCGGTAAATTCGAGGTTGGCTTTAGGCTTTAACTGTTACTCGTCCTGGTAATGCTAGTTATAATTGAATTCTCCGTCCAATTTTACATTTGTGTATAAAATTTCTTTCTGAACGGTGGCTAGGTAGATGTACAGTGACATTTTTCAGGCAATCACTGGCTCAGCCAGTGGCTGTGTCTCATTGCCTGTCATCTTGTCCAATGACAGTCCAATGTAAACAAAGCCGATACAGAACTGCGCAGTAGGTTGCGCAGAGAAAAACTTCTTGTTTCTGGGTCACAAGTTTTAGCGGATGTTTCTTACATCTCATCTCCACAAAAACCTACATATCTCAGCTCAGAAATGACATACAAGCATAAATGAGGTACCATTGGAAAGAGATTGTTTACAGCTATCTAACTGTGCTGGTTTTATTGGTGTAGAGGGCATTTTAAAAATTTTACTGAAGTAGCTAAATTAGACTCAGGGCAGATTCAAAACCCAACTCCCAGAGTTAAAGTTAGTTAGTCGACAGATTATCCTTATTGCACATTGAACTACTCAGTCCATTAGTGCTTGAAACCCCTCCTCAATAAACCCCACAGTGTGTAGCGACTGACGAAACCAGTTCTGTGTTGGTTTATTATTTTTCCCTGGCTTCCCGCATAGTGTTCTTCTTTGGTGACACCCCATTTAACTTGCTGTTCTTGTTTGGTGACACCCCATTGAACTTGCTGTTCTTGTTTGGTGACACCCCATTTAACTTGCTGTTCTTGTTTGGTGACACCCCATTTAACTTGCTGTTCTTGTTTGGTGACACCCCATTGAACTTGCTGTTCTTGTTTGGTGACACCCCATTGAACTTGCTGTTCTTGTTTGGTGACACCCCATTTAACTTGCTGTTCTTGTTTGGTGACACCCCATTTAACTTGCTGTTCTTGTTTGGTGACACCCCATTTAACTTGCTGTTCTTGTTTGGTGACACCCCATTTAACATGCTGTTCTTGCAGTCTGACCATGGTTCAGATTCACAGTTCCCAATTGGTTCACGCAAATGTTTTAAATCTTGTAGAGCATTCATAATATTAACCTGGTCCATAGCTTTCACAGTAGCCTTACCTGCAAGCCTATCAGTTTGCTCATGTCCTTGTACCCCCACATGTCCTGGCACGAAAATGAAACTAATCCTTCTCAGCCATGAACGCTTAGAGCCCACTACCACTGCCTTCAGACCCAGCCCTTCTCTATCTTCCTGAGCATACTCATCAAGTCATGGAGAAAGCATGACCCAGTGAAAGTCTGTGTCTCTAGCCATGTTACTGCTTTAGTCGCAGCTATGACCTCCATAGTCAGACTACTTGTAGCTACAGCAAATGCTCTAGAATATTCCTTCACAACTCTCCCTTCAGCCTGAGCCTTGAAAGCCCACGAGCTTCTAAGATGGCGGATGACAGACCCGTCTGTGTAAATGACAGCATCACCCTTTAGAGCATTCTCGAAAATCAAGGCTTGAACTTCTGCTTCCACGGCAGCCAGACTCTGTTGTCTGCATTTTCTGTCTAGTTGGATGCAAACAGAAAAGGATGTACAGCAAGTGCGCTTCGTAATGCCGGGGTGCCGTGTTCTTTTCAAGGTGCGACCCTAGTCTTTGATTCGACAGTGGTATCATGAAGCCAACCTTCTAGAAAGCAATGGCAAACTACTGGACATAAATTTGTCTAGAAAATTCACAACAGCCAAAAAATGTTGGGGTTGGTTCTGCAATGTCCTGTAAAGAAGACACAACTAACTAACTTTAAATTGATAGGATCCTTTCTTGAAGGCTACGTCTTGGCGCTGAAACTCCAAGTAAGGCTGAGTCTCCAAAGGGTTAAGACTGTGATGTGTAGTTTTACTAACAAGTTTGCAGCGTGTCGTTTGATGCCTAATGGGTTAATGTCTCCACAGATTATTTCGAGAAGCAGCAGAGGCAGCCATAGAGAACAAAAGTGAGGATGACTTTGACTACGTGGTCTCTCGACTCGGCCTGGCAGAAAGACAAGTAGCAGATCAAGTAAGGGCCATGAGAACACAGTTGGTGTCAAAGAAGTAATCACACAAATATGGGATTGTTTGTACGTGTGGACCAGATACTAGTGAAAACTTGGATATGGTAAGCAGGTAATGAGGAAAACCTTGTACATTGTGAACAGGTGGGGGGGGGGGGGGGGGGGGGGGGGGGGGGGGGGGGGGCCAGATAGAAGGGACGACTTTTCACGTGAGGAAGTAGATACTAGGCAGAACTTGTACATGGTGAATAAATACCAGGGAGAGCTCATACAGAAAACAGATACTTGGACAAGCAGGAATGGTTACTGAGGGATGACTTTTATATTGTGAAACAGATACCAAAGAGAACTTGTACATGGGAAACTGATACGAGAGATAACTGATACAAAAGAATACGTTAGAAGAAATCCTGCTTGTGTGTCTCATGTTATCTGTCATCCTTGTGTTGAATGTTGAATTAAGAATCGACATTAGAGCACTTAGGACATTTCCCATAAGCACTCATCTATGGAATTTCATCCTTGTGTATCATCCTTGTGTATCATCCTTGCGTATCACCCTTGTGTATCATCCTTGTGTATCATCCTTGTGTATTATCATTGTGTATCATCCTTATGTATCATCCTTGTGTATCATCCTTGTGTATCATCCTTGTGTATCATCATTGTGTATCATCCCTGTGTATCATCCCTGTGTATCATCCCTGTGTATCATCCTTGTGTATCATCCTTGTGTATCATCCTTGTGTATCATCCTTGTGAATCATCCTTGTGTATCATCCTTGGATATAAAAGCTCTGTAACTGTTTCAGTTGATATGTAAAGTCCCATGCTGTCCTGTGCAGCCACAATAAAACAATGGTATCTATAGCAACATTATGTAATTTGTTTCTGTCTTCAGACTGTCCCAGACTCTTGTATATGTGTGAGTATGAAAGGATGAGTGACCATGTAGATAGAAACAGAGGTTCCTATCTTCAGACTCTCCCACACTCTTGTGAATGTGTGAGTAGGAAAGGATGAGTGAGCATGTAGATAGAAGGAGAGATGTGTCTGCCCTTTGACTCTCTGTCTCATGTGTGTGTTTGAGAGAGACAGATGGGTGAACCTGCTGATACAAATAGAGAGGTTTCACTCCTAAGTCTGTCTCATGAGAGTTGGGAATAGATTGAAACATGATGGTTTTTAAGATGCTACTAGATCTACTTGTTTTCTTGTGACTACACAGACAAAAATCCTAGTTTTATTTGTGTATGATTGCTATCCATGTTATGTTTTCCAAAGTTACACATTATGTAACTGACAATATTTATTAGCTAGGTAAGTAAGTAAGTTGTACTCCACCAGGACATCACACAAGCGATTAACACTCAATGACACACAGTGCCACCACGCAGATGAGGATTACCCGTGGAGAGGTCCTGGAAACTGTTAGGCCGTATTTATGGCCCGGCTATATTTAGGGCCCCTGGCAAAAGGCAGCGTGGGGCTTCAAAATAATGAAAAATTGCATCCCACAATGGGACGACTTTAGATTATAACAATATTTACTGGCTGTACTCATATGTTCAGTGATCATGACAAGTAACATGTCCAGTGTGTATTATTCTAGCATGTTCTGTGCCGACGGTTTTTTTAAAGAAATAATCTTGTGTTAGAAGAAACTTAATATGCTGCCTGGTGGGGTTCTGCATAGGGAAATAGTCAAGCCCCTTGCCATGCACTCTGAAGGTCATAGGTTTGTTTCTTGGCGGCCGTGTTGGGTTTGCAGGTGAAGCTTTTGTGGCCATCCATGAGGAATCGTGGCCAGAGCCACGGAGTTCATGCTTTGTGTGTGCTCTCAACAGACAGCTAGCAGTTCTGCAGAGAGAGACTGAGCCATATGGGACAAACCCATTGCACTGAAGTCGATCCTCTCATCTCGAACCTTTATTGCTGACACTTTAAACAAATATTTAATTCGTAATTTTCTATTCATTTCTATGGGTTACAGTTGTAATGCATAGTGTGTTATACTTTTGCAGAAATTGGGTTTCCTTGTTTTATTATGAATGACTTGGAGGAAATTATTTTATTGACATATTTGATGTATAGATCATATATTCTTGTTATTTCTGCTGTTGAGTTTCAAACTGTGTACACTGAGTAATTCTAAAATTATTAGGTCTAGACTCTATGTGTGTAATCCTCTATATATGTATTTTTCTTTTCATATATTATGTTATTCTACTTTGTATCTGAAAGATGTTTTTTTTTGCATTTATGTTTTTATCTGTGCATTAGTGTGTATATTGTGTAAGTGAAGCAACTGATCCATGTATGATGAAAGGAGTGCATGCCTTTTGTACTGGTGTCAGTACAGAAACATGAGGAAGAGGAATCTTGGAATGAAATGGTGAATGTAACTGTAGGCTTTTGAGAAGAATATTGAATATATTGTGGACAGAGAGGGGAAAAAAAGATGTTAAGTATTGAGCAAAAAAGGTAAAAGGTCAAGTCGGGAGATGTGAACCAGCGTCATTGCACACGGTTATAAACCATAAGTGCTCTGCCACCTGTACGGACAGCTGATGAGAAACTGTCCGCCTGTGTTGCCGTCCGCACTTAACTCCGTAGCTACAGCGATGTTCCTCCATCTCTCCATCTACCCCATAGTGTCGACTTTGTACCCATTTCCCAGAGGCTGGGTGAACCCTAGGAACCGGTCAATTGTGAATACCGACCGTGGGCGCTGCAGCGAGTCGTAGCTTGCAGCTGGATTTGAAAGCGAGTCTCGTATTGACTGCGCTAATACAGTGCTGAGTAATCTAGGTTAAAAGATCGCTCATAAAACCTATACAGAAAAGACATGAAATCTTCAAGGCATATCAGCAACAGAGATGGAACAGAGACATGAAATCTTCAAGGCAAGTCAGCAAAAGAGATGGAACAGAGACATGAAATCTTCAAGGCAAGTCAGCAAAAGAGATGGAACAGAGAAAATCTTGTAGAAAATAGCAGACAGATAAGGCAGGGAAAGAAACAGTGAAAGGTCTGTGTATTGTCAGCCTGTTGATTGCCAGGACAAGATTACACATTTAGTCACAGCTTGACAACAATAACAGAAACTGAAAAAACATCAACTGACAGAGGACAGGGCGGTCACAGTTGCCATGTCTACTATAAACTGGGCAACTGAAGAACCTGTCATTCTTTATACTCTGCAAGCCATGACTGTTGCTAGATTTTACTTACTCACTTTAGTTAAAGACTATTGATGTTAATCGTCATCAAGTTAATCATCAAGTTAATTATCGACATCAACATCAAGATTTTGAGCCCTTGAGCTGGTCGTGAAGCATCCTGACCATTCTCCCCCATGATTATCTGTTTTGTACCATTCCATTTAATGCTGCATTGATAGGTCTGTATATGTCTGTTTTATAATCTTCTTCTTCTTCATGTTCATCAGCTTTAAACTGTTGGAAGGTTCTGGTTGTTTGTCCACATCTGGACTCTAGTCCTATTCCCGAAACTTGAGTGTTGCATGCACACCCATTTCACAGGTCTGACTTATTTGCATGCAGACTGTTAGTTCCTCACCTCTCAGAGGCAGATGTACTCCCACTTTAGAGGAAGCTCCCATTTAGTCGATTATTACGATATGCTTTTGGGCAGGCAGTGGGTCTATTCTTGTTTTCTCCACAATGGGATCCCAGAACCCACACGTTTCAGAATGTTATCCTTGATCTTTCCTTGCCTCTGTCTCCCAGTATTGTGTCCTCTCTGTGATATTTCTGTATGCCCTTGCAAGCAATGAGAGTCTTTACTTTTGCATCAATTCAAGTTTTCTTCTGTGTGTAATATTTTTAATAGCTGTTTCTTGTGTCAGTTTTTCTGTCACCCTGGTTCTTGCTGTGGTTCAGTTATCCACATCTCATCAGATTGTGCTGTTTTGTCGTGGTGTATAATTATAAAATATTGTCCACAAATATTCCAAGGAGCAGTCTATAAACTTCTTTTTTGCATCTACAGTTGGTTCTTTTTGATGGTCTGAGGTCTCTTTATCTTGACACCAGTTTTTTTTTTTTTTTTTTTTTTTTTTTTTTTTTTTTTTTTTTTTTAAATACTGCTGACCCCATGTTCTACGCTTCTTTTTCACTTGTCTCTAATTCACTTCACCATGTGTTTATTTTTTTCTTGTCTCCCCTTTTTCTTTGGTTTGTGGGTTCCAATGCACGGAATTCTAGAATAATATATATTCTGCTTTGTCTGTGTGTGTGTGTTTGTGCATGACAGTTTCAATGCCAGCGTCTTTTCCTCCCCACTTGATTCGTTGGAATATGTTTACTTCTCTCCAAAAGCTCAGTATTAGTTATTCTGTCATATTTGATTCCATTCTGTCATATTTGATTCTGTCATATTTGATTCCATCAGCCACCAGGTCGTGAATTTGTGTTGTTTATTAATCATTATTTTTGTGATTCTCTATGTGTTGCTTTGTGCAGCAGTACTGACTTTCCTAGTGCTATGAAAGCTCCTTTTGCCTTTTGTTTTCATATTTTGTTAACTCTATCATTTCATCGTGGTCTTCATTACCGCCTAGGTAGGTGTATAACCCTACATCTTGAAATAGGAATCACTGAAGTGGTTTGTATGTTTGCTTGTGCATGTGGCTAGCTCCCTATCTGTGTAGACCATTGGGCACTGGTTGGATGATTTGATCACTGTCATGCCGGCGACTTCTATTTCCCAATACTCACTATAAGCTGGGTCAGTCTCGGAGCACAGATCAGTTATAGTAAAAGTCCCAGTCATAGATGATTGGGAGACATGACCAGTAGCACTCAGGTGTGCCAGGCACCGTTCTTAAACAGTGGTCTTAGTAGCACCCAGGTGTGTCAGGCACCGTTCTCAACAGTGGGGCACCGTTCTCAAACAGTGGTCTTAGTAGCACTCAGGTGTGCCAGGCACCGTTCTCAAACAGTGGTCTTAGTAGCACTCAGGTGTGCCAGGCACCGTTCTCAAACAGTGGTCTTAGTAGCACCCAGGTGTGCCAGGCACC